AACATTAACATATGACATTTTATGTTTTTTGGTATAGGCATAGTACAGGACTGGATCCCTTTAAGGTTACATACATCACCTATCAGTACATATATTCTAAAAAACTGTTAAAAAAATCATGTATTTGATTAATACAATTTGCTAAAGTAACTGAAGAGACAAATAAAGACTGTAAATCAGATACAGTTGAATAAAATGTGGCATTTACTGTTGAAACAACAAAAACACAGGTGACTGACATATTGTTGAATATTAAGCACCTGGAAACGCTTGATGTTTTGAGGAAGAAAACTAGTGATGACATATTGCAGATTTGGAGAACAAAAATACATGCAGCAGTGGCCTCAAAAGAGAAATTTGACAGGGCAATGAATCCAAGCAAAACTACACATCAGATGGGAAATGGCATGAGAGAAAAAGAGAGATAGCCAACGTATTCATTTCCCCTCCCTCTCTTTAACCATGCACTCGCTGCCTCCTGCTGCCACTCATGATGTAAGTCTGTGGCAATTAACCTCCTTCATCTGTCAGACACTCATTCCTGTTTGTGTGAGTGTGTTGTGCCTTTCAAAGTGTGTTTGCAGTGCCATCCGTGCAGACACTTAGTGGGTTTGGGAGTGTGTTTCCGATCAAATCTAAAATCCCATTGCCTTTCACCTCAGGGAGATGATGTCATACTCTGCACAGTAAGGGGTGGTACTGGCAAACAGCTGAATTTTCTCAAGATAGTCAAGGATCTGTTTCTTGCAGCTGCAACATGACATCATGCAATACACATTTAATTACATACAGTAAAATATAGTTATTACCTTCCAAACCAGTGCTCTAATAAATCAAGCTTTCAAGGTGACGTGTTTTGCTAAGAGGGAGACTTTCATATTATCTTCGCTATTTTCTTACTAAACTGATGCATCTGTATCGAAAATAAACATTTAGTTTTTTACCAAATGAGTTTGATATATAAATAAAGGTATTAGTCAAGATTGTCCATGTCATTTTTTTAAATACTGCCGCTCCAGAAATAGATCTACTGTAAAAATAGTTCAAGCAAATGCAGTTCAGGATTACGGCTGCATCCAAACTAGATAAGGGTTAAAGTATGCCATTTTATAGGAGTGTCTGAATGTCTAGTGGGTGAAAACTTTGTGGAGTCAAAATTTCTCGCAATTCACCTTGAAAAGCTGTGTCCATCAATGTTCACCAGATAAGCAGATATATCCCAGAATGCTTTGCATAAGCTCTCCTAGGAAAAACACATTGGGTTTTGTTTTGGGAACGAAGGAACAAAGATGGTGCAGCCATCTTGCCGGAATCCCGTGAGTAATGGTGAGCGAAAAGTAGTGATCATCTGTCCGAACGGTCAGTTGACTGAGTGAACTGAAGTACACTATATAATGCCCACTCTATACTGTATAGTGATTATGGGGTTAGGGCAGACGTTCTGACTCAGCCAAGGAGAGTTATGCCAATATAAATCAATATAGAGGTCATTGAGATTATAATCTTTGTCACAAATAACATAAATGAAAGGTGACATCTATGTGACATCTTCATGTAGTTCCCCAACATACACTCACTGGCCACTTTATTAGGAACATCTTTCAAATTGTTCATTAATGGAAATTTCTAATCAGCCAATCACACAGCATTACTAAATGCCTTTCAATCTGCTGCAGTTCCAACTGAGCATCAGAATGGGGAAGAAAGGTTTAAATTACTTTAAAGGTGGCAGAGTTTGTGCCCACACAAACACAGTTTTGTGGAAGCAAATGCCTTGTTGGTGTAGAGGTCGGCCAGAGAATGGGCAGACTGGTTTGCGCTGGTAGACAGACAAAAGTAACTCATATAACCCCTCGTTACAACCAAAATATGAAGAAGAGCATCTCTGAATGCACAGTGCGTCGAAACTTGAGGCAGATGGGCTACAGCAGCAGCGGACTACGCCAGGTGCCACTCCTGTAAGCAAAGAAAAGGAAAATTAAGGCTACAATTCACACAGGCTCACCAATGTTGGACAATGGAAAAGTGGAAAAATGTTGCCTGGTCTGATGAGTCATGATCTCTGCTGCAACCTTCAGATAGTAAGTTCTTGGCAAACTCTGGGCTCATTAGTACCATCTGAGCATCTTGCCAATGCAACAGCTTACCAGAGTATTGCTGCTGATCATATACATCCATTTTTGATCACAGTATATCTATCCTCTCATGGCTCTCAGACTGGTTTTGTGAACATGACAATGAGTTCGATGTACCCAGTGTTTCCAATATGTTATTGAATCTATGCTACAAAGAATGAAGGCAGTTCTGAAGGCAAAAGGGGATCCAACCCCTATATTCTGGTGAGTTATTTCGTCAAAGATGATCAACTGTCAAACAATAGATACAATCACAAGTTTCCTTTATAAATCCTAAACTGAAACAATCATCTGTTGCAGAGCAATAACACAGTCATAAACCCATTATGATTGCAGTTCTGTCTTCCATCTGAAATTGAAGGTGTCCACTAAGGTTTAAAAATTAAACAGTAAAATATAGTTAAGAATCTGTTTATGTATTCTGTCTTTTTTGCTAGTCCTTTCCAACTGTGCTCTATTTAGAGGCATTTTGACTTTTCTTTTTTGAGGAAAAGCCGAAACTACTTTTTGATAAAAAAAAAAAAGTTTTAGTTTATAATTTAAATCAGCAGATATGATACCAAGATATTTGCCTTAACTTTTATGCAGCCAACAAAAGTGTTCCTTTAAAAAGACAAATGCTGGTTGATGTCTCAGTTCCTCAGGAAAGTGGCTATCAAATATCCTTAAGAAAATTTTCCGAACCTGGGATATAAAGTCCAGCTACAATTCTAACAGAACACAAGCAGCTTCACCCATTTTCTCCCCATTAGCATGAGCAACTGGACCCTGATCAATAAAGAAGCCAAAAGTCATTTGAATTAAGCAAAAAGTCCTTTTACAGATGATTTTGACCCCTAAAACAGAAGCTGTCCGCCCTAAAAAAGAAAAGCCTCTAGTGCTGATGAGGTCAGCTTCAATTTGTCAATAGGTTTAGATGTAAAACACACTTCAAAAACATGTACACACAGGAACCAATTTATACGTACAGATAACAAGAGCTGTAATTACACAGACACTGTTGACCTGAGGATGAACAGCAGAGCCTTGAAGAGTGGATGCCTTACTCCAGACACTAATGCACACAGACAAAGGTCCTCAAAAAGGATGTATGTACCACAGCTATAATTACTGCCATAAAGAAAGAGGGTTGATATGTACGGATATGACTAGGGGCTGACACTCAAAGGAAAAACATATAATTACATCCATACACAGATTAGGGCACACACACTTTGTAAGATAAAGGTCAACAAGAATGATGATGTTCTCCATTGCACATGAGCATTACAACACTGTGTATATGAGTGCATTTATGGCACTCAAGAAAAAAAAGTGTTTTGCGACAAAATATGATGATTTACCTCCTGCTCCCGTTGTACTTTTTTAACATATGTGTTGTTGCCTCTATTGAGCAGAAAGTGAGGCATTCTTCAGAGAAGGAGAGCTTTTGTCTATTTTGTGAAAGTGATTTTTGGTGTGTTGCGGGTGGCAGAAAGGGTGGACAGTAATTGGTAGGCAAGAGGAAAAACTCTACTTTCTTGGTTGGATGCTCACAGCATGCTGAATTCAGGAGAGAATTGAAAAAGGAGATGAGGAGCGGTGTTGAAGTAATTTGTTTATTAGATTAACAGTGGTAAATTATTATATATATATATATATATATATATATATATATATATATATATATATATATATATATATATATAATATACACTGTAATGATGATCTGCTTTAGTCAACCGGACAGCAGTCTCAGCTTGTCTGTTCCGTACAGAACAGGGGACCCTACTTATTTTAGCTCTATCTTTATTATATTTAGAAGATTTTCAGCCTTTTTAAGTCTCAGGAATTGTTTGCCTGAAACTTTTACTTGTGTTTGATGTAGAGGACCCATGGTCTGTTTTAATTACACCATAATTAGGGTTGGAACTAGCAATTATTTCCAAAATTGATTGATTAATCTATTCATAATTTTTTCAATTAATCAATTCATTGGATAGCCAAAGGTTCCCTAAAGGTCATTAAACCAGGCGAAACTGAAACTTTACAATTTGAGGAGTTCTGGATAGACCATATGAAGAGACAAAAATGTTTATTAATCTTAAATGCAAAATGTTTATATATGTTTTTTTTTTTACAATTTTGATGGAATTGCTGCTCTAAGCGGGTTTCTCTGTCAGCTAAAGGCATGTTTTACAGTCTCTATACTCCAATTAACGATTGATCGAGCCTTAGCCCTAATCATAACAATTTGTATATCATCGAACCTCAAGTATTTTAATTAAACATCGCTGAACTGCTGTGTTATATTGAGATCATCAGCTTATTTGGTGTTGAAAATTCTCAGTCATCCAGGTAATAGTCATTCCAAAAAAACAAACAAACAGGTAATAGTCATTCCAAAAAAACAAACATGAAACCACATTTTCCAACAGGAAATCATACAAATTCATCTGGTTTAATCTGCATGTTTTCTAAGCCAAAGTAAGCTTTGTTGCGCTACTGTTTAAAGCTTGCAACTCAATGCTAATTCATACATTTTGAATTGAAAAAGCTTCCTGGATGGGAGGCGAAACGTCTTCAAACATGGAAAATAAAGTCCAGTGGATTATTTTTAAGTTTTTGGGAACATCTGCTTTTTCTTTTTATGATTTAACTTCAACAGCAAAAAAAATGTCTTGTCCTATATGATTCATTATTGGTGACTATTAACGTGTAAATGTTGTATCAATACATGTATTGTTTCTTATATGACTATTATGCCGATCTAAATATCTTCTTTTGCTACTATTATATGTTTCTGCCACCTCTTTATACCCTCACCTCGCCCATGTTTACTGCTTTCCCAGCTCCAACATGTCCCTGCTCTGTTTTTATCCCTAGGTGTTTTGTGGAACCTGTCGTCCTGCGATGCCCTGAAGATGCCCATCATCCAGGATGCCCTGGCGGTGCTGACTAACGCTGTGATCATCCCACACTCAGGCTGGGACACATCTCCCCACACCCAGGAGGACCGCAAGCTTCACCTGCACTCCTCCCAGGTCCTCCGTAACGCCACCGGCTGCCTCCGGTCAGTTCTTTCTGTCTGCAGATTTATAACTGTCACTTGCCAAAGCTGTTTTGCTGTTATCAGTTCTTAGTCAGCACCCAACCATAAGAGAAGTCCCTCTGAGTTTAACACAGTCACATATTTTTAGAAGAAGTTTAGGTTTATTTTTACGACTCAACACTCTTCACAGCTAAAAGAGGTAGCTACATTTATGATGACTCACCAGTGAAGCTGATCGGTTTCTCACTTGAGACATGACGTTAGGTGTGGAAAACACTCTGGAGGAAGTAAGGCTGCAACAGACTCTCCTGCTTGGTGTTTTGATGCATCATCCTCTGAATGGAAATAAAAATGATTTGTAGGCTAAGATTGGGAATTTACCTGCAGGTTGAGATTGTTTCTTGTTGTTGTCACATAAAATTAAAAATGCCTCCTTACAGGACACTAAAAATCCCTCTTATAGTGCATGACGAACAATTTCACAGATACTGAAGAAAATGTAGGAAAAAATGTGAGATAAGCTTATTTTTCATGGGTTGATGGTTTGTTTCCACATAGATCAACCATGAGGAGTAAATTCTGCATATCTTTTTAGATATCTGTGAAGATGTTCTCAATCATACTTATTGATTTAGATTATGAAACACTGCACTGCCACACCTAGGTTAGTTAATCCCTGGATGGAGACATAAGGCAAACAAGCTGCCTGTAAATACATCATTACAGGATTGTTTTTTTATTCAATCAATTTTTCATCGCCTTTTATCTAAACAGAGACAACAATTAGAGTGTTTTCACACCTGCAGCTTTAAGGCGATCTAAATTTCGATCGATATTCTGTAATTTTCATCCCGACAGGGTAAGCATGAAAATTGGACCCTAATGCGCAACAAACTAGTGTGGCCTGAAGAAGTTGCTGCAGTTTGGCTCCACTAGTTGATGTCTAAAAAGAACCGTACTCTGATATATTATGAGCATAAATTACCTCTATGGTTGTCTGTATCTGCACTAGATGAGGATCTCTCAGTGAATGTTGAGCCGCATTAATCTGAATCATCTCCGGTGCATCAGCACATTATTCTCAAGCAGTAGCCCGGCATCATTTTCAAACACTATCGTTTTCTATTAGTTGTACATGCAAACCTTACAGAAAAAAAGGCTAATACCTCAAACGTCATCATGAAACTTTGATTCATTTATCGCTGTTAGTTTTTTTAGTGACAGCTTACGTCTTTCAATTGGTCAAACACTGCGGCGTTTAGTCCCAATTGACTTAAAGCTGGTGTGAAAGTAACCTTTCTAACTAAAAAATCTTAACATTAGAAGTCACACTACAGTGCGATCTAAATATGTGTGAAAAAAAACAAAATTTTAATTGATCAAATAACTTTACTGGTTTGATAAAGTCACTGTTATTTATTTTATTACTATTATAGTTGGCTAAATCCAAGAGGAGCAATGGATTAGATCCTTAATTAAAAATGCGTAAATGAGTTTAGGCTGTGTAAACTTAAAATATTAATAAACCATAATATATAAAAACCCAGCAAAGCTAAATCCTTCCAACCCTTCATTTTTTGGTTATGTGTTAGATTTGTAACTCGGAGTGTTTTCAGGCCCAAAAGGGGATTTTTTTTTTCTTCTTTTTTATTCTAAGCTATGAACTATTCATATCTTTGATATAAATTTTAGAAGTCATGTCAGCTGTGTTTCAGGTGTTTCCAGATGTGTTTTTCATTCCCATCCACCAAACACTTTATCATTGTCAAGTTGTGTGCATCTTTTTAGAGGACCCAAATGCAGAAAAGGAAGCTGAGGTGGTTTCTTTCAGATTTAATAATCCAAATGGTGGCAACTGAAGCAAAGTCCAAAAACTAAGAACCAGGAGATGTCAGGGAAAACAAATGAGGGGCAAAGAAAAGAAACCAGCAAACAGTAACTGAAAAGGAGGAGAATATATGCCAAACAGAACAAAGACTGGAGTAATTAACTGATTGGGAGCAGCTGTGGACAGAAGAATCTAGAAGGGAGCTAGGGGAATGGGACTGACGCAAGGGGGCGACAGAGGGTAAACAGGAAACACATAAGAACTCAAATACAACCTGAAAACAACTAGAATGACACAAAATAGAAACAAAACCAATGAAAACTCAGAAAGAAAATTTAAACAAAACCAAAACCATCATGTTTGCAAAACGGAAGAGTCATGTGCTTTGCAGATTCAAAAATGACATCATGTAAAATATTCAATAACCTGGTTGTAATTGAAATAGTATTTTAACAAGTTTCTAGTTTTTTAAATGTATTTTAGAATTTTAACCTAAATCTCAAAGTGTGTTTAAAGTAACATTTATCTAATCTTTTGACTGCTTAATTTCTCCTTTGCTCTTTGACTCTGGAAAGAAATGGGTAAATGAGCACAAACCAAAAAGAACAGTCTTCCTTCATGTTTTTTTTTTTTATTATATATAAAAATGAAGCAGGATTCCTAAAATATTCTACCCACATACACACAGTCAGTGTGAGTGTGGTGAGTAAATATATAGTTGTGTGTGTGTGTGTATACAGGCTACCCGTTTGTCTCTCTGTCAAACCACGTGTGGGTCATTAATCTCAGCTCCAGCGTTAGGGGCTTCTTACACTGTACACTTGTGAAAAAACACACATCTGGTACAGTGGTGTGTGTAATACTGAGTCTTTTGGTGAGCGTGTAAGTGTTAGATAACTTTGAGTGGCTCAGCCCCTAAACGCAAAGGCCTAATTCATCCTTCTCACGCCTCGTTAGGGAATGCTGGGAGTCTGATTAAAGATTGAATATTTCATGGCGGGTTTGGTATATCGCCGGCCACCTGCTCTCTTTTTTCCATCTCCTATTATCATCCACAATTTCTCATTTTCTCTCTTTCTCTGTTTTCCCTTTTAGTCTCTCTCTCCATCCATTTTTCATCCCCAACTCGTCACATTATCCCAATACTTCATTTTCAATCATATCATGACTTCTTTTATCCGTTATCCCTTCTGCCTTGCTTGGCCGTTCCTCTCTGCCTCAGTTTTACACTTTTGTTTTTTATTGCTTGCAATGAAGTAATGAAAAACATTCAGGTCCTGAGATTGTAATTGCTATCAATGGGGGAATGCATATCCTATCCTCATTATTTGGCTAACACAAATGGTTTGTTGCATATTTGCTACAATAGGTGTCAAGGGGTTATACTGACTTTGGAGCTAGACCTAACAAAACATTTCAAAAAATTAATTAAACAAAATGTTGCATGATTATAAAATGCACTTAAAAAGAATTGAGTATTTGTTTTTATCTCCTTTTATTCACTGGTACTAAAATCTGTTAAGCAGTTATTATTTTTATCCCGTGCTCAAAGCCAAATAATGCATTATTTCAGTTTGCAGAAACGTAACTGATGGCAATTAAACAAAAAAGTAAGAAAAGGACCTGATAACTTCTTAAGCCCAAAACTCCGGTACTGTGGAAGAAGTTTTACTTTTTTCTTTTCCAGGCTCATCACTCTGAGTGTCCTTGATTTAACACAGACATATTTGATCTCCACAGACATGTCAGGATCTTGGCTAAAAGCTAATATAAACCATTTCTATGATAGTTGAATCTGAAGTAAATAAAAATACTGTCATATGTCCTTGGCTCTTCAGAAGGTGTTTTTGACAAACAAAAAAACTTTCTGCTAAAAGCAGAGATTCTACGGCTTTTCAATCTACCCTGGATTCACTCAACATGCAGGAGAAGAAGACCAGATTAGGCTACGTTGACACTGCAGGCCTTGATGCTCAACTCCGTTTTTTTGTGAAATCCGATTTTTTGTCCTTTCGTTCACATTTCCAAATGTTTGCGACTTGTATGTGATCTGCTGTGTAAACTGCATTCATACAGCTTAAGTGTGCCGCATGCACAGTAGAGGACGCAATGGCGTCACAAGCCAGCGTGCTTCGTGTTTACGAAGATAAACATGGATGTTGTGCTGGAGCGCATCTAGCGATCTTTTCAAACCTTAAAAACACAATCTTTTCAAGATGATTAAAAAAAATAATGCTTTCTGCATCATCGTCCACCATGGTGTTTGTTTTTGTTACTAATGGAGTTCAGATCGGATGAATGCGGCCTGGCCGTTCAAACACAGGTCGCATTTGAAAAGATCAGATTCGTATCGGATTCAGGACCACACAGCCAAGTGGCCTGGGTCGCATTGGAAAAAATCGGATCTGTGTTGTTGTTTTGTTTTTTCCCCACATGCGACCTGTATCTGATCTTTTCATGGCAGTCTAATGCCATGAAAAGATCAGATACAGGTCGCATGTGGGGAAAAAAATTGGATTTGGGTCACTTCAGGCTGCAGTGTGAACCTAGCCTAGGTCACTCACATTTGAAGTATAAATTAAAAACTTCTCGATCTTGATTGTGTTTTGTCCAAACTCTAAATCCACCACAATACAGCCATATTTGTTGAAAACCTTTGTCCCCCAGTGCCCCTTACAAGCTGTCTTCCATAATTTTTTCTCTCTGAATCACTAACACATAGTGAATGAACAAAGGTAAAATGCCCACAGTTTGCATGAAAGCCCTTCATCTCTTTCCAGTTGGTACATAGCAGGACTTACCGGTACATACATATGATATGTATATGTTTATATAATTTGGTCCTACGTGCGCTTATGCTTACAAAGTGAAAGTTGTCCAAACTAGAGTGAAGCTAATAGTCATATTAACATATGGCAACACCCACATCTACACCAACAGGTGTAGTAGGTGTTTACTGTCAGTAGGTGTTACAGGTAGTGCGAGGAGGCTGGCTTCCTGAAGGTAAAAACCCAACTTAATGGGTTTGAGCTGTTTCACGATGAGCACAGCTCAGTGCCATGGAAATATTGAATATATTTTGGTAGTTTTTAATCATTTAAATGTGTGTGTTCCTAAAGTTTTCTTGCACTTGATGTTCCGTAAAAGTGCTTCATTTGTAGTCAAACATTTTCTGTTTTTTTAAAATGGTGTAAAAAAATCGATGTGGGGCCCTGGAACATAATATTCAAAAGCAAGATATTTTAGACACGTTTTATTAAGTTTTGCAAAAAAAAATAAAAGTACAAGAAATTTACCTATTTTTAGACGGTTCCAAAATGTGCCAAAGTGGGCTGAAAGGCCAAACCCCAAAGTATGTCTTAACTAAAACCGTTAACTTTGTTTAGGTAGTTTATGACTTAGTTTACCTCAGCTGCATTTTTTTAGCCTCATTTATGATGTTTCTAATAGGTTTATACTGTATAATGAAAAAAATTAAATTTCTCGTAATAATTAAACTCTAGTGCAGCAGAGGCTGAAGATTTATAATAATAATAATAATAATAATACATTTTATTTAGTCACCCTTCAGGACACAACACTGCAATTAAAAATGCACAATTTGAATAATTATATCATTTGTTATTTGGATTCTTTGTGCTACAATAGCGTTTGTTTGTTTTTTTTAAGTTTGATGCAAGTTTTAAAGCCATCAGGCATATGGGTGGGCGAGACAGCAGTCTGTCATGTTCATGTGTCAGGCAGGCTTTTTCCCAGGACAACTAGAGAACAGGATCTGATCCTTTATACATTGTAATATAGTGATCTTCCTTACCTACTGTCCCAAACTAATGATTAGAGCAGTGATACCCAGCATGGTGGAGGTCAGGGGGCCCTTATAGGTGGGCTTGTAATCTCAGGGTCTGGCCGAAGTATTTAATGCCTTAGCATCAAACACGACCTGTATTAATATGGGGACAAACTGAAGTACTGAGTTTGGAAAAGGTACGTATGTGACAAGATTTGAAAGAAATTCAAGGCAAATTTGACCAACTAATTCACTATTATCAATTTCAGAAGGGCCAACAACAACAGGTTTACAGCAGATTTCAATCTCTCGTTACAGTAAGAGCAAGTCTGTGTAAGATTTCAGGTAGCAGATGTCTGATCCCTGTGCAGAAGTTGCAGCAAACAAACACACCATTTGTTTTTGATGAATATGGTCATATTAAGAAGAAAGAAATGGTTAATAAAAGAAGATTTCCTGCTGATGTCTGCATATACATGTCCACTATCATGAATGCATCAATAATTATGGTGGGTGTGAGATTGCATGTGTGTGCATACACAGAAGAGTAACTGGAATTAATTATTATAAAGGAGGGGGGTATTGAGAGAGTGGAGGATCGTAATTGGTGTCAGAAAGGTGGCTTCTGTAAAAGGTTAGGAATCACTGCATGAGACCGGTATCTTTCAAATGTTTCAGCCTCCATATACATTATAATAGAAGAGGAGACTCTTGAATTTTACTGGAGTATAAAAAACATTTCCAATTAAAATGAACAATGAAAATGTAGCACAAATAGTTAACATATTGCTTTTAAAATATTCATATTCTCCATGGATACTGATGAAAATATTCATAATTTTTTCATCCCTCCTAAAATTTTTAGTAAGAATATACCTAAACTGTGTTATTATTGTTGATTATATATTATTTAGAGCTTTCAAAGAAAATCTTAAATTACACACATGTTAATTTAGGTAAGTAAGAGGTCCTTTTCTGGCATTACAATGAGAAATCTACCATTACAAAGGCTAGCCATGGCAGCTCTGAATCATCAGTGGTACTCACTATTATATTCACACTTTTCAACCCTGAAATCAAAATATGGCAGCATTTTTTTTTCCAGAACACTGCCAAGAGGAAATTTAATTTTTATGGAATAAGAGGGCAAACAGACCCCAGAAAGTACTACATGCATTCTTTTTTAAGTCTGTACAACCATTTACCAAAAGGACAGCGCACCACTGCCAATTGTAAAAAACTATTTTACTCAAATCTAACCTTGTTAAGAATCCATTTTGTAAGGCACTGTAGATTAGTCACTCAGACATACTTCTTTTGTGTTTTCTTTGCTTTTGCAGCCATACATTAGGAGTTAAATCAGAACTGCTGTGAAAAAAAACCCTCACTTTTAGCAACAGTATTATCTGTGCAGTGTAATTTCTTATACGCCTTGTTATTTCGATCCTTTATGCCTGAAGATCAAATAATGAGAGATAATCTGCAGCTTGGCTGCTTTGGAAAGGAATCTCTCCATTGGAATTCATTACCTCTAACCGACTGGGGGTAATTAAATTCAGCCTATTAATAGATAGGAGAGAAAGTAGAGAACTAATTTACTCAATGCCAGTTAAAGGTAGATTCTGTTTGTTATGATTTGGTTATTAAAGTCCCTGTTTATTCTGGTTTTGTCATGCTGTTCACTGAACAGAGGTTTACAGCTTTCTATCAGTGTCCTGCAAAGTGTGTTTGTGTGTGTGTGTTTGTTTGTTATCCAGTGAACTTGCATCACAATTTGAAGCAAAAAACAGCCAGAGGGGATGCAGACTCAGAACGGAACAATTTACCACAACCTCCATTTTTGAGGAAGTTATTTGACTGTGGAAAATAACTGAGGCTGTCAGAATGAAAAGATGCTTCCATACCTGAACAGAATAATACAACACTTTTATGCTTCGTACTAGGTTTCATGTCAAACCTTTCAGATTCCTCATACATCTGTGATTATTGATGGATATCATCCATCTACCTATTCATTGATCCATGGTCTTAATATATTATTTTAAAAAAGTTGTACATTTTATATTAAAAACATGTAGAAACTTTGACTTTGTGTGTTTTAAATTCAAATATTTCATTAGTTATCCTGCTCCATATCCTTATCAGGGGGTTTGGTTTAATCCCTATAAGGCTAATTATCCTGCTTCCTGCTGAACAGCAGGTAGGTCTAATGTTTTCCGACCTGTTTGCTGTGCTCATCATCCAAGCTTGACAGCTTTTTGTATTAATTTACCCATCAACTCTATGGATACAAACAAATTGCCGATTCTACTTTGAAGCAAATTATGTAGGAAGTTGACAGCTGTATCCCTGATTCCACCGAGTTCAACTTGCAGAACCTATTAAATGGAAAAACTAAGATTTCTCTAGGGGTTGTCTTCACCCATGGAACATCTGAAAATTAAGTTTTTTTTTTTTTACTTAGAGCTTTTCCTTCTTGTTTGTAAAATGTCATGAGAAGCAAAACTGAACTTGTGTGTGAAGTTATGTGTTGGTATCTGTGTGAAACAGGAATGTGAGTTCTGCTGGGGAGGAAGCTCGGAGGAGGATGAGGGAGTGCGAGGGCCTCACCGATGCTCTGCTTTACGTCATCCAGACCGCTCTGGGGAGCAGTGAGATAGACAGCAAGGTAAAAAAAAATAACACATATAACACACTACACTATACATGCTACTAATAACATAATTCAATACTGCATCAGTAGGGTACTATGTGCTTGTGCATCAGCATTGTGCGCATCACTCTCATGCAGTGAAATAATACATTCATAAACATGAGCGAGAAACAGCACTTTGCAAAAGTTTTCTTCACAAAAATGTCCCTTATAGAAGATGAGCAAGAAAAAAATCTTGTCTTTTTAGACTATGTGCAAAATGCTGTGTATGCAGAAAACTAACACTACCTTAAACATAGCATATCTCACTGGGAAACAGTGGGAAGTTTTTTCTAGTTGTGATTTTTATTAGAAGTATACTTAAAGCTACTTCATTTTCTAGAAATATTAATGGAAGTAAATACAAAGCACCCTAAAGGAAACAAAATAGTCCAAGGATAAATGTTTCGACTGAAGCATACGTTAAGTTACCCTATACACATAAAGCCATAGCTGTTTAGCATAGTGGTGGTAGAATCATGTTGGGAAGAGTTGATGGAAAGATGGAGTTAAACTTAGGCAATCCTGAAAAGAAAACCTCATGTTGACAAAAGTTAGACTTGTCCTCTCGAACAACAGCAGTTGGCCTCTTAACTGAATTTAGTTCTGTTTGATATTTCTTAATTTAAGTAAGAGTGTTTTCCTTCCACTGTGCCTGCACAGTATAACGGATTTCTGCAAAGTCAGTCACACAGTGCAATTTTCTGGATTTGCTGGATTTTTTTAAAATAACACCAACATCAGAGATGTGCAAAATGACAGCAACGTGTTATTTAACTAAGACAGAAACTGTGCAAAATTAGCTTGAATCCAATTGTCATGATGAACAAAATTGAACCAAATTAGAATGTATTTAGTTTAATTTTGTTCTGATTCTGTTCTGTTTACATGACTAAATTGGTTACATATGTTTTGAATATAAATGCAAATGTAATTCGACTATAAATCAGGCCATTTCAGCATTATTAGATGTTTAGGTCAAAAGCAGCTCTATAAAACATGAAACTTTAAATTCAACTATATCATTTACATCAAACACGCTGTGCTAATGTTATAACTGTATTCCCATTTATTTTGCAGTTTTAGCTGATTGGTCCACTTTAAAACAGCATGTTCCTCTAGTTTATGACCTGATATGTTGTTTTTTGTTTGGGCTCTTGAGAGCCTGATAAATTACATGACTTTGACATATCTGCTTTAAAGATGTAAATTGTTGGTGCCACGGAAATGTCATCAGTTCTGCATCTATGTAGAGCATTTTTATGAAAGTAATTTTGTCTCCGTGTGTTTGATGAGTCACTGTTATTTTTGAATTATTGTTTGGATTCTGAGGGGATGCTTTTCTCTGGAGAGCAAAAGATTCTTTGAAGGAAGTCATTTTTTTATCCTCCGAAAGATCAAAGTCAGTGACTGTCGACTGTTTACCCTCTCCCAACAATAGGATTAGTTTAGGTGTCTGCATACATTATGCCCATAGGCCACACTGCACACAGTGTCTCTGCTGCAGGGCTCACACTGTTTTTCAGTGCCTTTTATTTAAATCTCTGTCTCGTCCTTACTTTCCCCGTCTAACCTTTTCTCCTTCAGACTGTGGAGAACTGCGTGTGCATCCTGAGGAACTTGTCGTACCGTCTGGCTGCAGAGACGTCGCACAACCAGCAGGGTGGCTCTGAGGAGCTGGATGGCTTGTTGTGCGACACCGGTGGCAAGGACGCAGAGAGTTCTGGGTGTTGGGGAAAGAAGAAGAAGAAAAAGAAGGGGCACGATCAGGTGAGGAAATAAGCAGAATCATTACTTATTTATACTAACTAGAAACTTTATTTTGTTAATTGTTTATTTTTTTTAAGGCAGATTTCTCTCCTTTTCAATTAAGTGCAGCTCATGATTAGTGTTTGGTCTCTACCGGATAATATGCTGCGTCTTTTCACACATGCATTTATTTATTCATAACCAGCCTTCAGGTTCTTCTTGACATATTCATGATTTCATACTGTTTATGCTTTTTTTAAAAAGGGTTTGGACTAAACCTGATATGTTGTACCCTTTGTTTTGGCACCATGATTTCAACTCAGGAGATTATAAAGACCTCAAACAAATGACTCCACCTTTAAAGCAGAGACAGAAGGTAAAGGTCAATGAGGTCAATTAACCAAGACTGTGTATGATCCTTGAGACATTTCCCATAACAGGTAGAAACACTATAGATCAGAGCTTTACATATGATCTCACTGGCAATATATAGGTGCATATGTAATTATTTTGATCTTTAATCTATCTGAATGATTATACTATATACAACTTTGATGCTTTTCCAATAAGAAGTAGGTTCTCAAGTGGGAATATGCTGTTGGTTCTCTTTCATACAGTCAAAATTATAAAGGGAAAGCCCCGCCCCTTTTACGCCACTCATACAGACATCAATAAAGTTCTTTGGATTATATTCCCTACTCTTTTTATCAGATGTGGTAATCTAAAATTGTATCTAATCTGTCACTAAGCCGACTGTAGCACCTTGTCTGTTGCTTAGTAGTTTGGCAGAGATTGATGCCTTCCCAAAAATCATTATGTGTGCTTTGATTCATTTTTATTTATAAGTCAGTAAAGCAGAGAGTTGTATAATCCTTCCACCATGGAAAGAAATGGTTTAAAAGAAATTAAATTAATGACATTCACACTGGTAATGAGTGTATGTCTCTTACCCGTATGTTTAAGTACTCGGTCGATTTTTCATCTTTTTCTATACATTTGAAAAGAAAGTAAAAAGTGTTGGAGTAATTGTAGCAGAGGGAGTCACTTTGTCCACATGCAGGATTAAAAGGGACAGAGCTGCAGCGAAGGAGAAAATAATGGTGGAGATCATAACTTGATATTTAACTGTATTAGCACAGAAGCAAACAACCAGCTATGACCACTATGACCCAGCTCCAATAAGCATGGGATTACTCAATAAATTACATGGATGTATCTTATCTTCTAACAACACAAGGGCAGCATATTATTTGCACAGTGATCAAACATACATGATAGACTATAAGCGTGAAGGTGACCAGGCTTCATGCTTTCAACCACTGATTGCTACTCTAGTCTAAGAGGCAAGGTCAACATCAGCATCACCAGCTCCAAACACACAGACCCTGAAGAATAGTGATAGCAATGCAAAGAGGAGGCGAACAGTAGCCAAGGTTTTTTTGTTTTTTTTATTGTAAAAAGTCAAGGTAAAAACTTCTATAATCCAGCAATATATGAAATATAAATATTAACAATTTATACGCAAACTGCATTTCTTCTGGTTGAATTTATTCAATTTATACAAATTTGTATGAATTTAACCGACTGGCTTTAAAAGAACTGAACTTTTTAATTTAGCTTTTTCCATTTTCAGCTTTAGTTTTAAGTGTTTCCTTGTGTTGTTTTTTACAAATAAGAAAAGAATGAGCCTTTTATCCTCACAGCACCGTAAGGCAGATTTTTATCTGTGAAGGATCTGTGTCCTATCTGTCTCTGAAGTCGGGGCTCTGATCTAGCAGAGGAGTCATACCGGAGAAAAGTACATTGTTAATCCGAGGCAGAAAAACAGTTGGATTGAGCACCATGCTCACTATTACTAATACAAGTTAATAGCAAGACATTTCACTGTATTTTATGCATCTAATAGCAAAAAACTCTAAAGTTGAGCTGGAGTTGTGCTATCTGTGCCAGTCCATAAAATAAAATTGAAGCTCCTAAAAGAGGAAATACTGCAACTTTCACTACATTTAAGCATTTATATTAGCATTAATTATACAATAGAACCCAGGCTTAGCCTGGGCATCTGGTTCTTAGGGGGTGTTCAATTTCATTGATCAGATGTACAGCTCAACTGTTTCAACTTCTAAGTTCAAATGGAGTTCACCTTATGTACAAGCTAAAACGATGTAATAACACACAGCGAGAATAAACAGTCATCACCACATCTTTCAGTCAATGGTTTTTCTAAATAACAAACTGAACGTTTAAGATATGTAATGAGTTTTGAGATGACTTCTCCTCATGTGTGGCATTCCTCTTATTTGTGCACCACTAACAAAGGGATTACTGACATCTTAAAATAAAGTCAGACTGAAACAAATGGGGATGTGGGGCTACCTGCGTAGACTTTAGAAAGGTCTCCTCTGAGTGTCTGTGTGTAGAAACAGTTTAGACAGGGCATCAGGACCAGGGATCCTGCTGAGGAAACTAAAGGAGGAAGATATGTCTTTAGGTGGGAACAAACAAACATGAAGACTGATTACAGGTTGGCTGTGTTTACCTCATCTTTCCATTTCATTGATAGGACTCAAACCAAAATGCATTTTAGAGCATATTTTGAAGGATAACTATTAACTGGAACAAGATAAAAATTATCAATAAGAATGTAAAAAGAGTGTTTCAAATAATATGTTTTTTTCTTTAGGGCAAACGTTTTTATTGCCCGTTTTCTCTCCGTCCTTGATTTTTCTTTCCTACATAATTTTTCCCCTCTTGTTTCACATTAACATTAAATATCACAAAATATTAATTAAAACCAACTTTTTAATGACACATTAATGTTCTTTTCTGCCCTTTAAGGCCATTAAGATTTTATTATGTTTATTGCAAACTGGGATTTATCCTGTACAGTAGTTGCTGTGTGTGGAAATTTCATTAAATAACTTAGTATATAGCAGTGTTCTGTGCGGTCTCAGAAGTATCTGTTCAGTCCATAAATGATTCTTGTTGTTTGGCTGTTATAAACAGGTTTTTACTTAATCCTGTGAATAATTTATTGTAAAATGATGCTGTTTCCAGTCCCCATTCTTCTCATCATTTAAAACTAGTAAACTACTATACCTATGTAGCAATTTTTACAAAAAATTTAGGTTTGTGTTCTATTTTCTACATAGATGTAATTCTATAGTTTAGCACTTTTAGAATGTCATAGAGCTTTTAAAAAGTAAAACTTTAAACAGACTTCTTAAGTATTTCTTCTCTCATGTCAACCAGATGTGTGAGGGGCATGACTGACAGATGTCCTGTCAACAGATTCTCTTATCTCAGATGTGAATCCCTTCAGTCTCATCAGTTACCGCTGGCCTCTTGACCTCTTCTGAAATTAACTATATGTTTAGTCCAGTAAAATTATATCTCACTCTTTTTGCCTTCTTGTTGGAGCTATGTAAGATATTTGAAGCTTGTTTTTAATCTAACTGATTATATCCATGACCTTTCTGCTGTTGCATCTAGTATATATATTCATATTTTATATCTCTAATTTATGTATATTCTAATTATGGGTTGACATTTAAAGACACTGATTTTTTTTAGGCACATCCAAAACAAGAGGTCCCAAATATGAGAAAATAAAATGAGAACTACATCTCAATTTTCAGACTCTACAATGCGACACTATAATAGCAATAACTTGGGCAATGGATAATGTGCAGTTAACTATTTGGTACCCTGTGCAATAACCTGTTTGTCTACATTTGACATCCACTGCAATATTTATATATAAATATAAATATCCATCTTTATATATACTAATTAAACACTATGTGAAATAAGTTTTTATAGTAATCATACTAAAAAAAAAACTAAAAAAAACTGTCATATGTGGACGGACTGTGTTTACTGTGTATATCCCATGCTCCTTTTTCTTCTTTTGGCACATTCTTCTTCTTTGACTATTTGAGCTGATGGAATGAGTAAATGTATCCACTGTGAGATCAACAAAGACAATCAATCAATTTCTTTCCACAATCAGGCACAAGCAAGTCTGAGCTTATTTCATGAGTATGCTTATTTGTGTAAGGCACTGTATGCAATCACATTGCATTTTAGTTTTGTGTGCTCAGTACCTGTGCTCTGATTTGTTTTTAGAAAGCTGATGGCCCATATCTCTCTGGATTCTTTTAGTTTTATCCTCCACATAGCTGAGAGGTAGAACCAGAGATTTGTGAGCTCTACCCTCTTGTCATGCTAATGAGCAATCAGAATCATTCTGATTGAGTGGAGGACGTCTTTTACCACTTCCAGGGTAGCTGTGGGGACTGAAAACCCACCACTTCCGGAGTGTGATTTGCTCATCCTCCCTGCATGCATCCCTCTGTCTATCATTTCTGAATCTGGCAGGGATAGATTTATGAAAACAAGTTTGGACTATATTTTAATATCAGCCTTTGCCTTACCGTCTGTTTGCAGAATTTACTCCAAGCAAACGTCTGCCTTTGTGGAGATGGTGGACCTATTGATCATATTGAAATAGAGACAGATCATAAAATATGAAAAAAGCTTCACTTTCTACCCTCTGTCTGTGTGTCTCCACTTTAGTGCAGCTGTGGGCGATTACCAAGAAGCAGCGATTAGGGAGTGTGCCGAGGAGCACAAAACTCCATCAACAGCGGGGCAATTAGAGCAGAGGAAGGGAGAGGAAGCAGAAAAGGAGGAGATAGGAGACGATAAAGAGGGTGTTGTAGCATAATCAGATTAAACACACGAGGAGCAGCAAAGATGGACAGCAGTGTTTGGCAGACTTACATTCAGTAACAGATGTTATCACATATATCACTCATTTGGAAATAGTATAAGCAGATATTAAACTTAAATAAATAATACCCCCTAAGAAATTAATTAAAAATAAAACTACCAGCACTAAAATGAAAAACCAGCATCTTGTCACTCAGATTTTGTCTGATTGATGCTTATTTCACAGTTGAAGCTACATCATCTTGATAAACATGAGTGACATTAACAATGTGTTTCATCACTTTAGACAACTCTATCATTAAGTAATATTTGCAGAATGTTGGCATATTAGACAAGCTCAGGCCAACATAAAGTCATTTATACTAGTGTAATAGAAGGTTAATTATACTTTTTTTATTTTAACAAATAATACTGGAAGCTAAAAGGTGGTGTCATAGGGCAATAGAAAGCTAAATTTTCAACTTAGCAATGTTAGTGGCAGCATCATGCTGTGGGATTCAGAGCTGTTGGGAAGATTGAGGTGAATTAAGGGCCGCTATGCGTGAAAACCTGTTAGATTTAGTCCCCAAGCGTGAGACTGGGGCAGAGGTTCACCTTCTAGCAGGACAACAAACTTAAACATTCTTTAGATCAAATAATATTCGTCTATTAGAATAGCTCAGCCAAAGCTCATACCTGAATACATTTGGGAATCTGTGGTATTCAACATTATACACAGACACTAACCATATTTTCTAACTGAGTTAGAGCCACTATGCATTGAAATAAACGTTTTTACTTGTGTAAGGCTAGTAAAAGGTCTAAAATAAAAATACCTTCTGAGGTAGCTGTATTTAGAGTAAATGCTGATTTATAATCAGAAACCAGTTCGACTGTGTGTGTGTCACAGTGAACGCACAGACAGTCTGCTGCACCTCTCCAAAATTGTAGGTGACCCCAGACAGTGCCGCAGACAGGAGACATCTGATTGGTCAAATCTACATCCGCTCTACTCTATGCGTCTCCTGTTTGGTTCCTTACCGGCTTGTTTTGTTTGTACTGTGGAAAACGACAAGTGAAGATGGACCCGCTAGAAGAGAGCGGTGTGCAAGAACGCTGGGACCCTTTTTCCACCTGGATCCCCCTTTTTTTCGCCCTCATGTCCCTCCGTTGTCGCACACACTTGCCCCTTGCATTTTTCCACTTCCTCACCGCCTCGGCCGTATCTAGACCCTCAGCTAGTTCCTGATTGTCCCTCTTGCTTTGTGGCGGGGAATAACATAGCGCAGACCACGCTTCAACATTGGGCATAAATCTCACTGCAACACACTGCTGCGGGATATAACCAGCCTTTCCAGCAGCAGTATCTGTTCATCAATCTACCTGTAACTTATAAGTGTTAAAGCACTTATAGTTAATCAGTTTAGTGTATGCAGATGTTTTGGTTGTCTTATGCAGGAAATACACCTGATGTGATTTTAGTCAACATTTTCTGAACATCAGTACATTATTGCTGCTTCTAAATATTTGAGAAAACACCCAGTTTGGGCAGCAGATGAATGTCACCTAATTTTTTAGACTCTTTTAACATCCACTCCTCCTCCTTTGTTGCCTTTGCCCATGGGAGCCCTGCTGGCCCACAAATTTCTCCTCATACAAAATTCAAAATGCTCCTCCATTCTAAGGCATGCCTTATCTTCCACAGTGGGATGGTGTCGGCCCTTTTCCAGACTTGGCTGAGCCTCCGAAAGGCATCCAGATGTTGTGGCACCCCACTATTGTCAAGCCCTACCTCACACTGCTGTCGGAGTGCTCCAACCCAGACACCCTGGAGGGAGCAGCTGGGGCTCTGCAGAACCTAGCCGCCGGCAGCTGGAAGGTGAGAGCTCAGCGGCTGTGTCATTGTCATACAGGACAGAATCTGGGAGAAGAAAAAGGATGCTATTCTTCAACAATCCAGCACATTTTTAAATGGAAAGATGAATTAGATCTGAAGCACCTTTGTCAAAACGTATAAGACAAAATAAGTAATGATGATTTGACTTTTTATAAGTAAATTGATTTTTATAATAACAATAATAATAATAACAGGCAGAAATATTTCCAGATATCAGCAAATGGTCTGTCTGTGTTCAACATTTGTTCTATAATTTTTCTCACTTTTTTGTCCAGTGGTCCGTCTACATCCGAGCTGCAGTGCGCAAAGAAAAAGGTCTACCTATCCTGGTGGAGTTACTGAGGATAGACAACGACCGGGTGGTCTGTGCTGTAGCTACTGCCCTGAGAAACATGGCTCTGGACATACGGAACAAGGAGCTTATTGGTAAGTGCTTCAAACACAGACTCAGAAGTCTCAAATCGTAAAATTTTTTTATTGAGAATCTGAAGAAAATATGTAAGTAATCTGCAATATTTATTGCATTTCCATGAAGCAATTGGTATCAAAGGGGAATTTTATCTGGTCAGGTAGGATTAGCAAACTATTATAAGCTCAATATGGCACCGTTACTTAAGCAATCCTATTTGTAGAAACAAATATGTCCAGCTTTATCTCAGATATGGCTAAAGTCTGTGTTTGCATATTTCTAATGAATCTGATATCTTGTGTCTTGTTTATGTCTTTCGTGAGCTGTAGGTATGGTTGCACCTCTTGAATATTTATTTTTATTAAAAAAAATCATCTTATGGAAAGAGCTAATTGTATAAATATATTATTGTTCATGAAATGTTTTACCTTCCTATATGTAGGTAGAGTTATTCCAAAATGTCCCATTTTATTTCTACAAAAAGAATTTAATTTTGCCCTAATCTAAAACAGGATATGACTGAAGACAATTAGTGTAGCAGTAAGATTTTGCCAGCTTAATTTGATTATAGCTTGTGGAGGAAATTTTTTACTGTAATATTTTCCCGAATTAATATCAAATCCAAAGAATGGAAATGGAAAGCATTCGGAATATTCATCCCTCCGTTTGCACAAAGCTCCTCTCTTTAAACAGACCGTAGAGCTGCCAAGACTGAACACCTGATACTAGATTTTTCTTTTTTTCTTTTTTTGCTGGAGACTGACTGATGTCTTTAATAAACTCTGCTTCTCTGCTGGTCCCCATGGCAACAACCACATGCATCTTTCTATTTACTCTTTTCGGTGCTTTTGGCTTTGAGCTAAACTGTGTGATGTCTTAGTTCGTGAAAGCGACCATCCGTGTCCTCAGCGGATGTAGGCTGTAATGTCAAATTTTCCTTTGTGATGGCCCGGTGCATGCAGCTATGTTTTCAGGGAACATATTATCCTCCCCTTAGTTGGAACAGAATAAAATTGCTTTTGCTGCACAACATATTGTGTGGTCAGAATCACAGAGCTCTCAGCTGCAAATATCAATACTGTCAGCACTGGCAGCTCTGCTGTAAGCCAACTGTTGTTTATTACTTCAGTAATACAAACGTGATTAAGAGCTTCACCTTCAGTGCCTGCTTGGTTATAGAAGTGGGAATATTGCAGACAGAGGCAGCTGTACTGTAGGACCCATCAAAAAAACCATATAATTTAAAAGTGAGCCTACTAGGCCTCAATAGGACCATTCCTCTCAACACCCGCCTAGGGTGATGACCCAATCAGAATGAGAGCCACAGAGCAGAATGTCCACAAATGCCTGACAGGATTTCATGGGTGTCATGGGAGATGTAGTCCATCTGTGTCAGAGCATGTGGCCATGTCCCCCTTTTTTTTTTATTTTATTTTTTTTTTTTTATATATATATATACTCTAATAATCCCAGTGGGAAATTATTTCTTTGCATTTAACCCATCCCCTTGGGGAGCAGTGGGCTGCCATTGTGCGGCGCCCGAGGAGAAGTGGGGGGTTAAGGGTCTTGCTCAGGGACCCAGAGTAACAGTCTGTGGGAGTGGGGGATTTCACTCACAACCTAGTTCAATGCCCTAACCACTAGACCGCCACTTCCCTTTTGTGTATGACAGCCTAACCAGCAAGAGTGTAGATCTGCTTTTATGCAATTTGGTTTTAATGCAAGTTTGTTTGTTTTTTTCTTGATTTTGAGGTTCAAGAAATACTCTTATGTCCAAATTATTTGTCTGCCTGACTAAAAATTAAATCCTTTTGTTAACCTTTTGGGGTCATTAAGCCATGCAATTATTTGCAGCTACAGCTTTAGTTCTTTAAACACACGGTTCAGAAAAGTGGTTTTGTTTTTGTTTTTGAGGGAATTTTAGGCCATTCTTCTAGAAAAGCATTTGTGAGGTCTGACACTAATGGTAGGTGAGAAGCCTTGGTTCAGAGTATCAGTTCTAATTCATAAGAAGTGTTCTGTTGGACTAGTTTGTCAGCTCTAAACTTGCAAGTTCATGTCTTTAAGCGCACTGATGGCAGTAATGTTAAAACAGGAAGGACCCCGGTTCAGATGTTTCCCAACAAAGTTGGGAGCATTGAATTTCAGAGTATATTTTGGTCCAGAAACATGAGAAATGCCTTTTACTAATGAGTTAAATCTGACTTCCATTCAGCAGCCATAGAGCCTGGGCTGTATTCAGTCGTCTCTTAGAGAAATCATACAACTGCACCCTATGGAATGATAAAGACGACTCTGGTGCGTTCTTAATTAATTATAAATTCCTGACTTTATGGAAATTATAATTTTCAGCAAAACTTTGTTAAAATCTTACTTTATTGTTTTAAAGCCAGTCACTTTTGGTCATGTAATGTCTTCTCATCAGCTGGGTGTCAGTTGTTTTCTTTTTTGTATGTTGTTTTTTTCATATATATAGAAATATATTTTAGGCATACATACACTTTGTCTTTCCACTATTAGTATAAATATATTAAATATTTGTCGATGTTACATCAAATAATGATAGCCTTTCCTTGGCCTCATAAAAGCTTTTCCGTCGGCTTTTTTAAAGATGGATGTTGTTTTTTTTCCCAGAACAGATTTTTGAGGGCCCTTTAAAAGTTTTAACCTGAGGTCCTGTTCTTTCATTATAAATTTCAAAGTTTCACCTCAGACTTATCTAGGCTTGAAGCAAGAACACTTTCCACGTGGATTTGTAAAAAAAAAATATGTAATTTCAAAACTATGATTCCTGCAGCTCTGCCTGGAGTTCTTCTAACATTTAGGAATGTTTTGTTTTATATCTTTTTTATTTTTCCTTTTAAACTTAAGCAGCTTATATTCAGTTTGCCACTTAACCTTGTCCACCCTGTCACCTTTAACCAGGCAAATATGCCATGAGGGACTTGGTGCATCGTTTACCTGGAGGCAGCAACAACAACAACACCAGCAGTGGAGGTGGTGGAGGAGGAGGAGGAGGAGGAGGAGGGAGCACCAACAGCAGCGTCCTGGCAGGGAAGACCATGTCAGACGACACCATCACTGCAATTTGTTGTGCTTTGCATGAGGTCATAACAAAGAACATGGAGAATACCAAAGCCCTGAGGGACGCTGGCGGCATCGAAAAGCTCATCGGCATCGCCCGCAGCAAGGGAGATAAGTAAGCCAAATGGGAAGGTGTTGTTGGGTGAAAAAAGCAAACCAGATGACAGGGTGTGCAGGGTAATGCAGAACTTAAGTTTATCTCACCCCAAATCACCCTTTTTTGGCAAATAAACGAGCTATTTTATGTCACTCTGCATTTTAGTTCATTTTCATTTGATTTTTAAGTTAAAACAATCTTAGAATTTCTGTAAGTGGTTGTAGTTGAATTTTTCTGTTTGTTCGAATGAAACATGGTGGTGCAGACTGTCATCAATATCCTAATGATTGACCAAAGTGGGTGGAGCTTATGCACAAATATGCGCAGTCGACCCTTTACTTCACAAAAATCTGTTAAAATTAGCTATTGAAACTTACAGAATATATTCTAATTATATTTCTTAATATGTTAACAAATCTGTTACATTTCACAAATTATATTATAATTATGCAAAAAAAAATGTTTCTTCAAGCTATCAGCTTTATCTCCACAAATGCCACCCAAACTTTGTACACCCCCTCAGAAGATGGTATTAATAAACCCCAATAAATATCCTGTGATAAATGTTAACAATTAAATTATAAATATAAATACTAATAATGTTTGATGTCAAAAAACTTATTTGGATCAAAAACATTAAATAAGGTTCCTGAAAACATGATAGACAAATTGTTGAAGCTAAAAAGGGTTCATTTTGAATATTTAGGGATTTTTTTAGTAGTTTTTAAAATTTTCATCGGTATTGCTTATAAATACAAACAATGTTAAAATGTTTTTATATAACATAATTATGGCATTTATAGGGCATTACTAGTATGTTCCTTATATCGGCATTGGAGGCCTTGGTCAAGAGGCTTGATGGAGGCGCTTTACACTACATTCAGTCATTCACCCATTCACTCACACACTGATGGGGGCAAGCTACATTGTAGCCACAGCTGCCTTGGCGCTCAGTAACAGAAGCGAGGCTACCATACACAGGCACCACCAGTCCCTATGACCACCATCAGTTGGTCGTCAACTGATTTATGTATTATTCCAAGAGAAATAATATGTAAAAAGAGGTAAAACCTCAAAAGAATCTGCCATAACTATAAAGGCCTTTAAAATGAAATGAAAATGTCAAACTATAAAACACCCGTTTTAGTTTATTTCCCTAGAAAACAAAAATTGCTTTAAAGTCACACAAGAAACATAAATTTGATTTGCTAGTTTCTACATCTGGTATAGGGTTTATCTCCCTGAATTCGAAACAATAACACTAACCGAATGTCTTGGAGAAATGAAGTTTAATTTTGCTGTCCCTGATAATGTCACATGAGCCAATTAAACCCAAAGTCATTAGACAGCTGAGTGAGAACCTGGAGGAAGAAGATTGAAATGTTGCCCAATTAATCCATCATAAAGAGCAATCATGCTGTCTGGGCTCGGTTCAATTTAAGGACACAGCAAAGAAGATAAACATTTCCTTGTTGGTGTTTGAAACAAATGATGATTTAGAGGGCCGCCTTTTGTTTCTGCATTTGTTTATTGTGGTGGTGTTGTTTCTGTAACCTTCTAACTTTTTTGTGCACAAAACAACAAAAGGATAGTCAAGCTTTACATTGTGTTTTTGCTTTCTGCTGAATTCCCAGACATAGTCCCAAAGTGGTGAAAGCAGCGTCCCAAGTCCTCAACAGCATGTGGCAGTACAGAGACCTCCGCAGTCTTTACAAAAAGGTACAGCCTGTTGGCTCTGGATGCCTTCCACTCAAACATCAGACATGTTTTTCATGATGATTATTAATAGACCGAGCGCTGAAAATAAAACTGCAAGTCTGCCTTCTCGTCTTTCTTTCAGGATGGCTATTCACAGTACCATTTTGTGGGCTCGTCCTCCACGATAGAGCGAGACAGACAGCGACCTTACTCTTCCTCTCGCACTCCTTCAATCTCTCCGGTGCGCACTTCCCCAAACAATCGATCAGGTGGGTCCACGCCTCCCGTTCATTCTTATCCTCCCGTAAAAGCCCCATCCTTCTTCCCACCAGTAGAGCCCAGTCAACGAAGCACTGCTCCATTATAGCTCAAGTCTTCTTTAACCTTCACAGTACAACGACTGCTGACATATTACTCCACTGTCAAGTAAAATATGTGCTTCATGCACATTAAGAAAGTTTTCCCGCCCTTGTGTTGTCAGAGGAAAGGTTTTTTGAATAATATGAGGCACCAAAGTCTTACAGAACCTGGACTGATGATGATGATGATCACAGCTCCTGACAATGTTCATCATCTTTGATCTTTTCAGTCTTTCCAGACTGCAGGGGTGGCTGACACACTGACGACTGCTGTGAAACCAAAGCAGCAAAAATTCACAGGTGTTTAAAGTGTTGTCTGAAGATTTTTTTCCTTAGTTTCTGGTTAAGATCTTCTTTATGACAAAAACTAAAGGCGTCACAATCACTAAATAGAGCAGGGACTATGTAGTGGACTTTATAGTGAACTCAGTTACAGTAACTGACTGCTTATACAGAGGATCACTACTTTTCTCTCCCTGTTGGTCACGTGTCTCCGCTCCCCACATTGTGCATGCGGGCCTCTTTGTCATTTGTCGCCGCTGTCAGGTAATGACAGCCTATGGTAACATCAGGCTGCTGTGACAACAAATCCCATAATTTTAGGACATATCTCCTCGTCTAGTGACCATGGATGATACCTACTTTTCAAGTTGCATTGTGGGAAATTTCGATTCCACTACTTCTTCATCCACTAGACAGTTGGACACTCATCTAAAATGGAGTAATCACTATATGGTGCCCTACTGTATATAGTGATCAGGGCAAACATTCGGACACAGCCAATGTATTTGATTTGATTTGAAATGGAAATGATGAGCATGTGATTCTTTTTAGTATGCAGTCTCTCTGTGTTGACACTTTTTGCTACAGTTCCAAGTAAAAGTCTTTAGTAGTATGGTACATTTTGACTACCGTAAGTAAAAAAATAGACGTCCCTTTTTTTCTCTGCATGGATGCAAAAAGGTTCAGTCTTGATGTTATTTAATCAGTACAATGTGTTACACATATTTCTGAGGAGACCATCATATAAAATATTTACCTTACATGGTGATAAATTTCCATTTATAACACATTTTGAGAGGTTAATTTTCTTTGACATGTTTTTGTGTCTTAAAACTAATACAAAAATGCAAGATTTAGATTTTTAATTTCAACCATTGTTTTCTTCTAAGATTAAACCGCCTTAAGGCGATGGTGAGAACAACACAAACACTACACAGGGTTCATGGTACTGCATCTTTTATTGAAAACTAAAGGGTAACAGCTATCGAATTATCAGCCAAAACATATATGAGAATTAAAATAACTGCAGAAGGCATAAACTCATAAAAAGATCATCTATGGCATTTGTTTGTTTAATTACATGGAGAATGATTAACTGACACAGAGGGAGAGCGAGGAAGCACAGATGGGTGTATTGACAGTTAGTACCCTGTATGAAAAGAAATAAAACAATGCTTTATTCCTATACAAATGTTGTGAAAATATAAGATTAAACTTAACTTTAATCTATGGCATGAAGATAGATTGAAAGCCACTGAATGGGTTTCTTTTGTATTCTTTTAACAGATATATATAGAAGTGGAAGAAGAAAAACTATTGAAGCATCCAGGGGATTTATCTGAAGTAGTTGAAATTACATTTTTACTTTAAAAAAGGAAATCAACAATATCAGAAATTACATTTTTACGACTAGTAACACATGTTATGATATGATATGCTTGTCATAGCCTGCATCCTGAGAGTCTAGACGGCTACATCGGATAGTATCTGGTATGATATAGACAGGAGATTGCGTAGAGATAGAAATTTTATTTTCAATGTGTTGCTGTTTATTTATGTTAAATGAAATCCTGTTGTTTAGATTGTTGGATAAAAAGACAAGATATAGACCAGTTCTTCTTGGGAAGGACTTCAGTTTGTATCAGACTATATCTCTAACTTCAAGCACTCTTGTTATTTTAGCAAGAGAAGCACAAAGGTTCATTTCAAATACATCCCATATTTTTCTTTTGAAAAAATATTTGCACTTCCACAGTCATGTGCTTTTCTGTGATTAAATCTCAACAGGTTTGTGAATGGACTGTGACAAAAAGTGAAAAAGATAAAGTGATATGAATTTGTTTGATGCCTTGCAATGAAAAAAAGAGGAATTTAATAAAAACAGTAAAGCAACAGTAGCAACAGGAATAAAACTTCTATTAAAATTAGGTATTTAGGCTTAATACACAGTATTATATCTAGAGCATTTTTGCAAGTTTATGTCTGAACCTGTCCAACAATAAAGTCTCAAAATTGAGAGTCAGTCTCTAATTTGACATTTTTTTGTTTTGTTTCTCAGCTTAGATGCATACAAGCTGGTGCAGATGGTTCTCTGAGCTCACAGAGAGATATAAGTGTGCCTTTGTGTGTAGGAAGCTTTAGAAATAAATAAACAGCAGCTACTGACAAACAACGACTAGCTGATGCTACAATAGAGTGATGATACTGCTGAGCATACTTGAGCATATGGATCAATGCTTACTATATTAATGCATGCTGAAGACATAAAGTGGCAGACATGATGGGTACAGAATCTGAGCTGCTTTTATGTGCAAAGCTGCTGACAGTGATGTGTATATTAGAGGAAAGCACTTGGCAATGAACTGATAGATCCTCTCCTATGTGGCTCAGTGTCTTTGCTGCCCATCAGAGTAACATATAGTGGAGCAATAAACTAAATAGGTGGTAGAGATGACTCAGTGTTTATGTATCTGAAATAACCTGGTGGTCAACAGGTCAAATAAGGTTCACCAACTCAGGGGCATAATGAAGCCTTAGCAGTAACCCAGTTTTAAATCTGTTCACATTAGATGAAAACGGCATAAAAACAGAGGAAAAATCAGTCAGTGTCCCTTGTAAGAATTAAGAAAAGTATTTTATTGCTGCAGCAAAATCTTAAACAAAAAAAATGCTAATATATATATATATATATATTTCAAGGACTTTGTATGGTAAAAAAGTTCATTCAAAATAAATAACTTCGGCAAAAAAGCAGATGGCACAATGTCTTAGCAAACTACTCCTTTTATAGTTTTATAGACATAATTCTAGTCATTTCTCATTACCATCATTGCCACATGTCTGTCTTCTTGTGGTAGCCCTTTGGATGGAATCAGATCCACGTATATTCTACCATCACACAGTAAGCAGATTAATAAATGAGACAAACAAAACTCCAAATCAGATGGTTGGAGAGTTAGAAAAACAACTTTGGGTTTCCAAGGCCGACAATTTAACAACAATCAGATGCACGCTAGATGGACCGGTGCCTTAGAACTATATTTTTTGTCATACAATCATGGATGTTAACATGTGGAATTTGTCAAACTCTTCTTTAGTGTTTCCAAATTCAGGTTCAAATGCACTAGAATGTTATGCTTGGAAAGTGTCCTTAGTGTCCTCTACATACAAAACGATGATGGTCCTTTGCCTCTTCTCTCATTCTGGTGCCTCAATGACTTTTGTCATATTGAAGAAGTTAGAAAAGAACCCCATGTCCACTGTTAAGAAAGTGGAAGATCTGTGATCTGTTCCTCTTCCAAAGGAAATTGATGAACCTCTTAGGCTGGATGACATGTTGAACTTTGAATTGTTTAACCAGAAAACTAGAGGATTCCTTATTGCTTTCTACTCAATCGTACAAAAAGTAAATTTTATTTAAGGTATTTCACACACCTTTGTCTGCATCTGTTGCTTAGAAGCTGCTAAAAGGTCATATTAATTTAATAAAGCAAAACAATAAAACATAATTTGTATTACATTAATTTGAGATGAACTGACAGACATAATGTTCTCCCAAATAGTAAATCCACTCAAATAAAGTTTTCTATCGTTTTTCACAGGGATTTGTGGCTTCAGTAACTTATTGTAAGGCTTGTTACGCATCTTTGTTGGGTTTACTAGCAAGTATGTCTGTCTTTTTATTTGCTATGACGCCTCAGAGCTATGTGAGTTAGTACAGTGTAGAATCAGATAAATAAAACTGTGCAAGATTACAAAAAGGAACAAGTTTCTGGCATTTCGATTGTGAGATGTTTCCAAAATGTTTTATTCACTCTTGTCATTTCTTTTGTTCTTTTCTCTTGATGTATATTAGAATAAAGAGTAAAGATATTCTTTTTGTGAATCTATGATCTTTTTTGTGAGCAGCGAGTGCTCCCGCTTCCCCCAGAGAGATGATGGCATTGAAGGAGAGGAAGGCAGACTACGAGTCGACTGGCAATGCCAGTTTCCATGGTAACAAGGGCGAGCACACGTCCCGGAAGGACGCCATGACGGGTAGGAAATCCATCTTGTATGTCTGTCACAGTGTCGCTGTTCTCCTATGGGGTAAAGGCTTTAGAAAGAAAGTCAGCTATCATACTTCTGTCAGTTTGTCTGGGTTTAGGAAAAAACTTCAGCATTTTGGATTAATGGTTTTGACCCCAACAGTTCAGCAAATCAGCACTGACCTCACATCTCTACTCTAACTGAAGCTGGAGGCAGACAAGGGTTAATTAGGGTTTGTGTAAAGACATGTCAAAATTTAAGTATATTCTCTATAGAGATTTTAAACTGTTATTTTAGAGTTCATTAATCACTCTTATTAATGTATTACTTAATCTACCTGTATTTAATTCAATCTAATGTTCGGTTTTTAACCTTTCTCAGGGAATGATTCTTGTTATACATTTTTAAAAACCAGGATTTTTTTTCTTTATACGGTACTTTTAATGGTCTGATTTTCAACTAGAGATAAGAACACTTAAATATAAATCTTTTAATGCTATAAAAAAGAACCAAAGAGAAAAACTGTTATTATTCAAACTAATAAAGACACACTGCTAAGTGATTATATAATAAAACCACTTACAACAACCATAAAGGATGTAATGAAAGTAATGAATTAACATTAAGCAATCTTGTTATTTTACTGCCCAAGTTCTGCCATCCAGACCTCATTAGACTTTCATGTGACTTTAAATGGAAAAAAATAAAAACTCTCTTTAATCCGACATACTGTCTGATCCAAGGCGAAGGGGAGGACGAAGCCTTAAGAACACTCTGCCAACACTCAGTCACGCCCACTTTGACTGGAGGCTTTACAAAGGATTTAACCCGTCTGGATTAATTGGGGAATTTCTTTCCATCACGTTCAGGACTACAGGCTCTCATCAAGCACTCAGTATTTCAATCCTCTATCTCTCTCTATCCAAGGTGCCTCAACTCTTAGCCCTTAAGAGTTGCTCGGGTAACCTGAGTTTAGGCATGGTTAGTTCACCGGTTGGTAACAGGGGAACAAAGTCTCTAAGGAGTTTCACAGTGGAATCTCTTCTGATGAATGTTTGCTGGCAGATAAACAGGCAAAGTTACAGAACAAAGCAAAGGACTTTCAAAGTCTCTCTTCCAGCCCGGATGTGTGAACGGACGATGCAGTATATATCTCTTTCGTAATAAAAAAATAAAAAAAGGAAAAGACATTTTTCTTACAGTGTCTCAAAAAAAAATCCTTAAAATCCAAAATAACACTTTAACCATTACGCCTAAATGTGTAGATTTTCATATAATGAAAACATGGATTCAAAATGAATAAAGGGAATGTTTACTTTGCTGTGTTTATACACACATATAAAAATGTGAGTTAAAGATCATACTGTAGTAATGAGGAAAGGATTCAAACTCTCCTCACTCATCAGAAGGATGCCACACTCTGAATGATGACAGTAGTATTCTCTTTCAAAGTAGAAATTATATCTCTCTTTAAGTATAAGTAAAAGAAAAAAAGGAAAATCATTGAAGCACTAACCTTTTTAGTTTAAAGTTGCCTGAATGAAAACTAATACTCAGGACTGAACACAGAAATTGTCAAGTTTGAAAAGCCCAGATCCCTTACCTGTTATCCTTTAAACAATGTAGAGCAAATGTCTCCTCACTCTCTCTCCAGGTCAGATCTCTGGTGGATCTTCGACGCTACATAGAGGAGCCTATGTGTCTCCAACTGATGATCTAAAGTATAACCAGGTAGGAAATGTCTTCCTTTTGGAATAAAAAACTGTCAGTTACTCCTACAAAACACATCAAGCCAAGTTTTCTTTCGAAAGATTTTAACTTTTACATTTTATGATAAATTATTTCAAATTAGTTATGGGCACCTAATCACCTACTATTACTATTCATGACATTCATCTTCAAATGAATGTTATTTTTTCCTGTTATTGTTTACATGGTCCTTTTTGAGTCTGATAATCATTTTTGCACAGGAGTCAGCAGACATAAGCAATGTTGTGCAACACCACCATCTGCTAGCAGCTTTTATTACCAAATTGGTAACTAAAATAAGGCCGAATATTGTGTCCATCATGCCCAAAAACTATTATTTCACTATTACAAAGAGCTATAAGAATAGCAATACATAAGCACTTCTTTAACTTTAAATAGCACAGAAAAAGTGTAAATAACAAATGTAATATAATAAGGTGTAATAATTGAATTGAAAAACCTTTGTATGTAACCAGAGCAGACTATAGTGCAGAAATTCGTAAGTAGAAGAATGTGACAAGGCCAAATTAAAAAAAAAGGATATGGATATTCTAGTATATGGCAGATTCATTTAACTTTTTTTGCAATGAAGCAACTGATAAATCAATATAGAATAGGAAAAAAGGTATGTTTGCTCAAAAAGGTTCTAAACAGAAAGGGTTTACTCTTTAAAGTTATTTTTAAGTTAGTTTTTTTGTAGACAAATGACAAGGCTCCTTCATGCAGGTGGTACCAAACTGAAAATGTCAAGACATAATAAAAATGTGTTCAAATATGATGTATGCCAGTGGTGTAGTTTGCAATTATCTGCTTAAAAGCAGGTTGTCAAGAGGTTTGGTTCATGCCCTGCATGTTTTTTTACGCAAAGTGCAATAGAACTGTGTTTTAATAAGATATTAATCAATGGATTCGAGGAAATTTCATGTATTCAATATAAATAAGAAAGAATGCTATTTAAAAGGTAGTAAAAGTGTGAAAAATTTTATTTTGTTTATTATTTATGTTAAAAGCTTGCTTGAGAACGTCTGAAAACATGTTATTGTGATCCAGGTTTTAAATATGCATCCATGTCTTGCAAACGTGTTTGCACACTTGGAATGTTTTCACATGTTGTCATATTGCAAATACGCTTTTATGCATCTTGGCAGTGTTTTTTTGTTTTTTTTAAGTGCGGCATCCATTAATATTTCCACTGGTATGATAGGTAATGCAGGAACAGACCAAGGATAGCTTTATAAATGAAAATATACCAATGAATAAGACAGCAGATTGACAATGATGGCCAGCTCACCTGACAAAAGAAATTGCAGTGATGAGTATGAGATTTATAACCAGTTAAGAATTGTATTGCTTCATGATACACATCATCCTGCAAATGCAGTGAGGTTGCGGTACCATCTACACACATAACAAAACAGTAATAAATCAGAGGCAGGAATGTCATTAAAAAAAGATTTGTTCTTGTACAGAAAAAAAGGAAGTCCCATGTGTAAAGAAAAAAAAATGTTTTATCTCAATTTTCAATATTTGATTAAAATGACAGCTTAGTGTCAAGTCCTGTGCAGTTTCTATATGCTTTAGCCAACTCTAATGACCTGTAGGTTTATCTGAGTGACTAGTCTCAAAGGAAGTAAGTTAGAATGAAAAGTGTCAGACTGCAGACACCTTTGCACACCAGTAACAGCTTTTCCGTGGCTGTAAACAGCAGTGTTATCAGTGTAAAAAAGTATACAAGCATCAGTTATATGTAGGTGATGGTAACAAATAGAAATTAGATTGGACCTAAGTGGAACCCGTTGGCACACACTGTCTGTGATTTGACAGATCACTAGAAAACCAGCTTATACAGTGGTATGATCTGATAAACTAACATCTGGCAGCTTTTGACATAGTATATTATGATCAACAATGTCTAAAGCCTTTGACAGGTCAATAAAAAGAGCAGCACAGTAGTGATTAGCATCCAAGGCGTTAGAGATGTAACTTTTGTAGTTTCTGTTACTATACTGTGCTGTTTATAAATGATTGAACTCTTTCCAGGTTTCTTCTCAAGGCTTACCAGCAGAGCCCTATCCACCCTTCCAAAATCCCCCCCCACCCGACACCGGCAACTATGAGGACCAGGCCTTTTATGAGAGCCAGATTCACGCAGGAGGTCGCCCCCCGCAGGGTGAACTCAACATGCACCTACAGGGACTCAAGTCAACTGGAAACTATGTAGACTTCTACTCAGCCTCCCGACCCTACAGTGAGCTCAACTATGAAACAAGCCACTATCCAGCCTCACCAGACTCTTGGGTCTGAAGCGACACAATGATGGAGGAGGAGGAGGACAAGATGAATGATGGGGGGAATGGGGATAATTAAAGTTTGGAGTCAGAGCTGAGAGGACAGTTTGCCTCCCTCCTCATCCTCTCCCCTGTAGTTTCTGAGTAGCATTATAGATAGCAGGACAAAGGAGGAGGAGGTTGGAGCACTAGAATGGAGACATTACCACAGGACACTCCTTTCAGAGACGTCTGAGGAAGGCACGAGAGGGGGCGACGGGAAGAGCTGCCACGCATGTGCATGCACACCACCTACCAATCTTACACATTTTGTTTATGTGTTAAGTTTCTGATCAAGTGTTTTAAAGAGTGCTCAGCTTGGCAGGAGGACCTTGGACCCCTGAAGGATACGTAAAGGAGACAGATATGGAAAAAGAGTCAGAATGTATTGGGAAAAATGCTCTGGAGATCAAAAGGATGACAGTGATAGAAGAAAGTGGACTCCAGAACTGGAGGTTAAGAGAGATTACATGAAAGTGGTGACCTGTACTGTATATATGTGCTATAGTAACGTGGCTTGTAGTAATACGAAGCACAAGAGGCAGCTCTGTAGGACATTTAGTACTTCACTCGTACTTTAGTTTGGGCTTAAGCAAAGTGTCTCCTTCTCTGGGCGGAAGAATGGAATGTTTTTCTTTTCTCTTTGGTTTGATGTCTTTCTACTTTTTTAATTCCCATGTATAGTATTTGATGTCCCACTGTACATTGACGGAGATGCATTGTGTACTGTACATTGCACTATTTCTGTGTTATGTTTAGGCCCTTTTCTGCCACTGGGTCAGCCTCACCTTCTCACCTGAGATCATATGAAATAGCTGCACTTAAATCTCACACCACAGACATCTGTTTGGTCCAATTGTGAAACACTGGAGATGAACTGTTGGGTCACGGTGCTCCTTTCACTGCCCTGCTGTTTGCAGACAGTACAGCTGCCAAGAAGAGCTGAAGAGAGACTGATCTGGCATACATTCTTGCTTTATTTTTCTAGGCTAGCTTTTGCATTTCAACATCGTAAAATGTCTCCTTGTTGTTGAGGCAAAACCCTTACTCCAAGCGACCTGTCACACATTGTGTATATAACTGTGCCAAACAAGCGTAACATCCCCTCGGCTTAAAAAGAGGGCATCAAGGAGTGCGTCAAAAGGGTCCAAGTTCAGCTGAACGACTTCTCTGTTCAGACGAAGCCAGTTTGTACATGCTTTGGTTTTTCTAAACTGTGTTTTACCAAGATGAAAACTGTCCAACTTGCACTGACAAGAAGAAAACCACAAATATGATAATGTCAAAAGAAATTCCACTGAGGGACGGTGGGACCTGGCAGAGCTTCACTCGCTCAGATGATGTACAAATTAGTTGATTTCTGTGTTGTAAAATAATCAATGTTTGAAGTACAAAACGAAAAAAGGAAAAACTTTTCTGAGAGATGGGTTGCAGTTCTAACTTCATGGTAGACAAATCTGTTAATAGAGTATGGATATATATTATATAAATGCAAATATATACTTTTTATGTGCAGATGTGGATGTCACTTATAGCAGCAACATTAATGAGAAAAGACTTGTAAAAAAAAAAAAAAAAAAAAAGATAACAGCTACATGTAGGCCTTTTGTTCACCTCTTTTTTTCTGGTCAACACACTAAAATGTCAACTTTGTGTAGTAATGTCGTTGCTATGTGGGGTAGCGTAGTCCAGGGTCCAGGGTTCCAGGTTGTCACTGAATCAAGCCAATAAGGTGCTACATTTGTGACAAGTATTACCAACGTGTCGGTATTTTAACACTGCACAAAATATCTCTGGAGCATTAGGACTATCTACAGCGCCTTGCTAAAGTATTCGCACTCCTTGAAGTGTTTCACATATTGTTACGTAACAAAAAACAAACTTCAGTGTATTTGGATTTGAATTTTACTGGATAGAGCCACACAATGTGGGTGAGGTAAGGAAAAGGATACGTTTTTTTTTTTTTACTGAAAATAAAAGATTAAAAGTGTTGTATGCATTTTTATTTATCCCCACTGATTCAACACTTTTGGCTGAAATTACAGCAGCAACTCTCTTGAAGTGTGTCACTAAGAATCAGTTAGGGCACTGATTTATTTTGTACTGTTTCCTTCAAACTCACTTAAATGGAATTATATTTTAGCTCCATCAGAACTTTTAGGATTGTTGCCCTGCTGGAGAACCCCAATTCTCTCTGTATTCATGCATTCAAAAACACTCCTGCCTCACTCATTCAAGAACTGACCCAGCAGGGGTCGACCAATCACGTTGCGGTATTATGGTTTTAGGCGGGACATACAGCTGTGAACAAAGCAAAGGTTGTGAGCGCACAATCAACATGGCAGTGCAGGAGGAACCACGTGTAGCTGCTGCTATATCTGTTTTGTCAGAATACACAATTTTATCCAAGAATAACAAGAAGCACTTTGTGCATTTTGGATGGTAAATGTGTTTGTGCCTTTTTTACCAGCTGATTGGCTTAAACCAAACACTGGTAGGCAGGCTCTAAGTGTGGCATTGCCCAATCAGCTGTGAAAGTTGTGCTGAATATCTCTCCTTTCTCTGAATAGATCTGATGGTAGCAAGCCAAGGTTGGTAATGTCTAGAAATTAACTAGAAATTCTGTCAATTTTGTTTAATTAGAACTACTTTCACACTTTTTTTTTAGCTGAAATGTGACTGACTTTTTATGTGTGACTTTTTAACAATCGGTTTCCATTTTGCCACCAGAAAGTGAGTATATAGTTTTCTTCTTAACATTTTTTTCTCCTTTTAAGTTCTGGATCACTGCAACTCTGCCAAATTTAGCATTGACTTCTTTATTCAATGCTCTCCTTCCATGGGCTGCCGGTTAAGTTTGACAACCGTGTCTTAATTTTTGTGTAATAGATTTCACAGGAAGCTTTCCAGAGTTTGATTTAGGAATATCAGATCAAAGTGGGGGGGAAGGAATATGCACAACATATATTTCATATTTCTAATTCCTAACAAATTTCTTTAACTTCACTATATACATCATTCTCTTTGCTAGTGTAGCACATAAATCTTAATAAATCCCACCAAAGTTTGCGATTGTTGTGTGATAAAATGTGCAAAACCTCAAAGTGTATGAACACCTTTGCATGTACATCTATAAGCTGACCTCCTCAAGTCAAAGAGAAAAACTTGCATCCCATGAATGCATGAGTATTTTTGTCATCAAGTGACAAAGGCTAAATTGGAACAGCTGACAACAGTCCCTGGCCCTGCCTGCCAACTCTTTTAGAAGTCCTAGAGGTCATCTTCCAATGCTTAACAAGCCACTCATGACGCAGGTGTTTTCCACAGACACACGCTGGATGATCAACAGATGTGCTGTAATTCTCCGTGAGCATCGGGAAACTGATTCATGTATGTCTTTGTGATCCTTAGGCAGAAAGCCTGACTTATAAGACCTGTATGGAGATATAATGTCGGTTATTTTATTTTATTTTATGTTGCTAGACCAAATGTGTTTTAAAAAGACAATTGTGAATCTTTCTATTGCCTCAAACAGATTGCAACTGCTCCAAAAAAATATAAAAGGACCATTGAAGAACCTTTGACTGCCCCAGTTTGATTTCTTTGCTGCAGAAAAAGATGCTTCTTTGTTGTTATAAAACTGCATTTGATAATTCCAGTAAACCTTTATGGTAGGGCCTTCTTTTTCTGCGCTTTTGCTCTTTGATAGCCCTCCGTGCTGGTGAGGCTAATAACTACTGGCCCCTGCAGATGTGGCATTTATTGACAGCCGTCAGAAACACCTCCTGGCTCCTATTGATTGCTTTCACTCAAGCGCAGTCTGCTTCATGTTGCCGACTAGGCATGATGACAGTTTCTGTAAATGGGTCAAAAAAGATACGGATTTTAAAACCAATGTCCAGCAGCCTCCATGTTATGCAGCAATGCAACTAAATATTTAGTTGTAAAAATCATCTGATTTTTGCTATAATCAGCCAATCCCATGGTAGCAGTAACATCACCCCCAGCCTGCAGAAGCACAGTCAGGGTCTATAGAATCTATTAATTACAGATGAATGGCTGCATCCATGTGTGGTTAGGTAAATATGAAGAAATTTATATGATATAATTTTTCAACAAAGGAAGAATTATGGAGCAAAGTCTCAAGCAGAATCTTCATTCCCTAACTACATTGTTGTCACTCATAGCATTATCCTTAGTGAAGTCATAGGTTTTTGTTTGAGGCTTGCAAATCCACAGACATGAAATAGACAAAAGAAACCTGAGAATTTGTAAATATTTACTTTAGTCTACTTTATATCTTGCTATTCCTAGCTTTTATTAAGCATCACTTGAAGCATGGGGAATTAAAAATAACAAATGAGCTGCCTGACATGCAGGAGGAAAAGAAATTAGTTTATTTGTAATTATGACAGTTGTGGATGTTTTCTCAATCTTGCATGCTGCCACAGATTGTTGACCTGTGAAGGGTCATTAGTGCTCTCTGGTGGCCATAAGGGAAACTGTATCGCAGGTCAGGATGGCAGCCATTTTACTCTTGCTGGTCCATTCTGCCTGACTCTTCCCAGATGGTACTGCAGAACAAAAAAATCTTTTTGTAAATGCTACTATTTTTTTAAAAGCTCTCACAACAGCATGAGGATCATGATCTTCAAGAAATTTCCAGATAAAAAAAATACTTTTGGTGGTCAGGGTTGATATTTAAGAATCAGAAAGCAGTTTCTTTCTTTGCTTAATTGAAATGTTTTATGTCTTAATAGTGGCAATCATGTAGTTTACAGCAGTAACATGACCTTTGACCCTGAACACTGATTTAAAACATGCAGGTCTGTAGTTCTATAATCATATCTTTACATTCTCTTTGTGTATGTTTTTTTTTTTTTTTTAACAGGATATATATATGTACAAATTCAGGTTTCCTTCTCGCCTCATTAGTAAACAAGGCCTAAAGAGGGCAACCCGCCCTTTCCTGGTCAAGAACCACGGACTTGGAGAAGGAGCTAATCTTCATCACCCCCATTTGATACTCTGCTGCAAACAGCCAAGCGTACTGTTTAGGTCCCAGCCAGAAAGAGACAGCAGAGTCATATCAGTGAAAAGCAATGATGAAATCTGCCTGTCCCTAAACCAGACTCGCTTCTACAATCAATTGTCTCTAGAAGTCCTGTACATGAACATTTTTAATATGCCAGTGATGGAAGGCAGCCCTGCCTGAGTCCAACATGTCAATATTAACAGTAGCAATGTGAATTAGACTTCTGCTTAATTCGGCACAATGTAAAAATGGTCAAACGCATCTCTACGTCCACAAAACAAATGCAGACCGGTTGGATAAGTTCTAATAACCCCTTAAGCACTCTGTTGAGGGTGGCAGCGTGGTCCAGGACCGGGAAGAAAAACACACACCTACCTCCTAAAGTCACGGTTCAGCAATCAGATGAACTCTGCTTTCCAACACTCTTGTTTAGACCTTCCCTAGAAGGAGGGTGGTCCCCCCTGTAGTTACAATGGAGTCTAGGCGGAAGTTCAACTGAAGAAACTCATTGCTTTTCATACATCCACCTGCGACACAGCCAATCAGTTTTGAACCAAACCTCCACAAAAGCCAATCGGCATCCAAAGTTCATCTTAAAAGGCCTCCAATGCGCACCTGTCTGCTCCTGTGCGCAGGCGACGGATGCGCTGTGACTTCATTTAGATGACACAGTTTCAACCCACCTCCAGCCCCTCCACCACCATCGTAGCTAAAGCTTCATCAGAGTGTCACTCCTACCGGACTCTTACTGCGCTCCCTGTCTCATCTCAACCGGTGCGGCAGAAGACCACCATTTTGAGCCTGGTTCTGCCAGAGGTTTCTTCCCAACGGGGAGTTTTTCCTCTCCAATGTCGCTTCATGCTTGCACACCATGGACAGGATCTCTCAGCCTGTGTTATCCAACTGGACTTCCATCTTCCAGGTCCCTGAGTGAAGCTCCATATCAGCTCACACAGTCCACTGGATCTCCCCATAAAGCTCAGCAGACCATCTGGCTAACCAGCAGTCTACAGAATGACCAACTTAATCTATCTCCACTCCACCACCAGTTTCATGCCTGGGGGGCAAACAGCCCTATTCTTTGCTCCTGTTCATCCATATCTATCAAAATTAAGTGCTATCTTTTCTGCCGAGGTCTGAGTGATAAAGACAACGTAATTGTATCAATAAATTTCTCCTAATTGTCTTTTCTCTTTGTGTGAGTTTTTCAGATTGAAACACCCTCGGGTCCTGTAAAAAGGAACCCGGTCTGCCAGTCCACATCTACATACTTTGGAGATATGGTCAGATTTCATGCAGCCTGTTCCTGCAAATATATTATCCTAGATAAACTACTTCTTCCAGCTGTTTCATGGATACATTTTAAATGAAAAGTAGAGTGTTAAGTGGATACTGAAAAGCTGCACAATGGACATGACTACCAGGCTAAATAAACTACTCCGCCAGTTGTTTACTGCTCTTTATTTCATTATATAAAATACAAATCGATTTATGGAAGTAATGAAGAAACTGTTGAACTACTTTTAAATCATAAAACTAGGAATGTTAAATAGAACAATGTTAACAGTAAGGATAATTTCATTTGTCCATTATTTGTAAATGTAAGTAGAAACATTAGAACATTGATTTGTTCTGAATAAAAGCCACTGCTTGAAATCCTTTTTTTGTTTTTGTAAAGACAAAATCAAAATGCAAACCAACAATTTATAAACATTATATGAATGAAATTTTAAAAGAATACCTTAAAGTTTTAATGTTCAATGTTTTTTTAAACATTAGCAACATACAGTAAACCTATAGAACAGTAGCAGTATTCTTGAACTTGAAACAACACTTTTACAATGAATTTTGGATATGTTCTGTTCTCCTTGTAAAAAAGTGGAATGTAATTTTTATAATCCTTATTTTTGATATCCATAGTAAAAGAGAATATATATATATATATTTTTTTTATGAGGAATTAGCCTGTTACTGATCTACAGTGTGACACAGGTGAGAACCCTCCTCAAATAGATCAATCTTAGGTGAAAAATAAGCATGTTTTTTCTAGTGGCTAATTGAAGACATCTGACCTGTGGTAGTGTTAGTTTGCCGCAAAGTTTGGGCAACGATTATTAAGTTTCATGTCATAGTATGTGATCAGTTCCAGAAAATCTGATCAACATTTTAGGGTTATAGCTGAATGTTTATCAGGGCAAAATCTAAGGTTATAATGTCCACTTGAAATCTAAAAAAAGAAATTGGAATGACAAAGTGGTCAATTATAAAAACACCATCTAGCTATCTGAAAATCCTAGATAGATTATATATCAATATTAAAATGTATTAATGGTTTCTATGATGAGAGATCAAACAGTTAATTGTCCTAACTAAATACAAAAATACATTGATAAATGGTCAGTATGATATGCAGAAGCATACTCTTATCATATGGGAATGTTATTGCTTTTATTCAGTTTTTCACAAATTGTTTGTAAAATCCAACATTAGGGATGTGGTCCCCAACAAATGAATGAAGCGTTTAGATACCTGATATTAGCTGTTAGGGCACTCCAAGTAATCTGTAATAAGAGCAAAAATAATTTGATGGAAGTGATGTACTCAGAGTTTTTTTTTTTTTATTTGTCCTTGGAATTCAAATTTTTAGTTTCCTGTCATAGATAAACGAAATAGGCTTCATGAAGGTTAACTTGCAGCTGAGGAAATAGGTAACAGAGCAGCCCCATGCTCAATAATCAAAATGGCTTTGAACCATCTAAGACAAAGAAGAAAGAGGCATAGGAACACATTATTACTTCTGATCATTTGTATCTCATTAAACCAGTGCCATGCAGTCTAGTGTACAACAACCATCTGTACTAATGTTCCCTAAATGACTGAATGCATGAAAGGAAAGGAAGAAAACACAATTTTATAAACTTAAAAATAAATTAAGCAAATATTCTTTTTCTGACTTTCAACTAGAACATATCTAATCCCTCACTGTAACCTGGCATAAGCCGGATTGTTGTTCAATTTAAATTCTTCACAGTATGCATCTGGAAAGGCTCCTGGGGAAAGTGTTTGCTAAAGGGAGGGACATTCTATACAATTCTTCAAGCTGATTGAGTAAATCACCAAGTGGCATCCGCCTCCCATGTCAAGCTTTTAATCAATCACAGCAGCAACTGTAACGAATCACATTGAACAAACTCTTACCAAATCTGGTCAGCACATGCAAACAGCCTCAAATCCGCAATGGCACAAATCACATCCCTTTCCTGTTGTTTTAAAAAAGAAATAGAGCTAAAACCTGCGCAGCCATGTTTGTTTTGCTTCAGCCTTCTCTCTCTGTTTAGCTTGTTGACGTTATACATAGCACTGCATTTTATTGGTTTAAAATATTTCTGTATAAAGGCTAATGAATCTATTGGCTTCTGGCTAGATGTAGTTTGTGTATTTGTGAGATTGTGCATTCACAAATCTCACAATAATTCATCTTGCTTGCAAGGCAAGGGATACGGAGCTTGAACTTCCAACACAACAGAGCAACTGTTTCTACTGCTATTACTAGTTAGCTTTTCATAATTAACATATTACTGTGATAACTGTCTTCCTTGTGGAACAAAACAAGTTTTTGTTTTTTTATGACATTTTCAGTGTGTAAATTTGCCATCTGGCAAACAGTTTGAGCAAACTGGCACTTCTAACTGACCCTTAAGAAATAAAAAAAATCCCACGTGGGTTATATTTAGTCAACTTGAGTTGAACAATGGATAATACATCTAAGAAGACTAATGAATGCTATTTCTTTCTTCTGGGATAAAAAAATACTTTGCTTCTTTTTAACTCTCCGTCTTTATGTATCAAATAAATGTCAAATTAAGAAGATAGGTACTTCTAGTTGTTGGAGGATGGCAACAAATACTTGGTACATTTGTTGCCATCCTGTCTTGTAAGGTTCTTATTCCAAGCATTTCCAAAGCAAAACCAAGGTGTTTGGTCTTTGTCGTACTTTGTAAAAAAAAAAAAACATCTTTTACAAAAGTTAATTCTAGAGTTCACTTTAGCTAATGCTACATATTCAACGTTACAGCATCTAATAAACATTCAAAATAAGAATAAAACATTTGATATAACAAACTGCAATGTTTCCAGTGGTGCTATTTATTAAAAAATAGACAATAATCATTACCTTGTTTTGTATCATATTTATTCATTACAGATACTTATCTTGTGTTAAACCATAATTTTTGTTATTGTTTTTATTTGTTGCTTTAGAGAAAAAGCTAAAAACAGCCAATTACAGGCAACATATGGCACAACTCACAAAGCCGGTAGCTTTCAGACAGAAAACTATCCCGTGATAACTTTAAAAGTCAGAATGTCAGAGTGAAGAACTAAGCTGTATATTTTCGGCTCTTCCTTTCAGCTTCTTCACAAAGCCCTTACAAAGCCTCTGTGAGCTAGCTCTCCATCTCAGCTCTGAAATACTGCTTAACTGCCCTCGTCCTCAAACATCCCCAGCAACAGTGAAGAACGATGTCTTTCTGATATGTGCTCCGTAGTCTCATCTTACTTCATTCATTCAGTTGTTGCAATTCTCTGAATCTTTAATCTATTTGTCAGGTTGTAGATTCCTTGTTTTCTGGCCTGATTCCTCCAACTTTTATACATGTATCTAAATGAAATCACTCACATTTGACCAAATCATGCTTTAAGCAAATAACTCTTTGTCTTTGCATGAGCGCTTGTCATTTTGCTGTTATTGTTTTATATCTTCAGAGTAAAGGTTGGCTATCTCATGTAGATCCTTCCACATTCCTATGATGCCTTGGAGAAAAACTAGAAGGTTGGCTTTACAAAAAGAGAAAGCTCAGCAGCACTGCCTGTTTAACAGGGTTCCTTGAAAGATGTCTGATATGTCAAAAAATACCTGAGATTCTAATGTTTAATCCAAGTAACATAATTGTTTACATTTAGCTCCCTTTTCTGCTGTTTAGCACTACATATTTCACCTCTAATGGAAGGTGTGCAAATTCAAGAAGAGACAAGGCAACAAGGCCATCTGAGGCCTGTACCACAAAGCAGGATTACTGGGTTAGTGAGACAACTTAAGCCTCAACCCTGACCTTCAGGTACCACAAAGCTGGATTCATTCTTAGCGAGGCAAGTCACCATGGTAATGTACTCTGAAACCTGGTTCAGGGCAGGCTAGCCTTCAGAAATGATTTGATTCCTAGAAAACGCTCCACCCAGCAGCCAATTAGCTATTGGGGAAACAATGACGTGCCCTTTCAATGAAGACTAGATTTAATTCAGAGGGGAAAAATCTTTACATTTTTAATGTTTGCTGTAATGGTATAATTTAGAAGGAGAAATGTTAGGGCATAGAGCTTGGAATCCTGAGGTTCTGAGTTTGAGCCCCACTCCCACAGACTGACATTTTGGGTCTCTAAGCAAGTGCCTTAACCCCTGATTGCTCCCCGGACGCCACACGATGGCAGCCAACTGCTCCTCAAGGGGATGGGTTAAATGCAGAGGTAAATTTCTCCACTGTGAGATTAATAAAATTCAGTTACTATTATGATTATGATTATGATTATTAATAACCAGGTAAAAAAAAGAAAAGAAACACTAAAATGCTGCAAAGTTTCATTTAAGTAGAAAAAGTGTAACTTGCGCATTTTCGCAGTTGGCTCATGGTTTTGATTGGCCTGCTCCCTTGAACCTGCCCATTTTTACAATGCACGTTCAGAATTTTGTTCAGTCAAAGCTGGAATGAGTTAGCAAGTTGATCACCAGCGTCGTGGTACCACTGATCCTGATGGCCATTGTTGTGGATTGGTTAAATTGGATAGCCTGGGAGCAATCCTGCTGCATTGAGCTGGCTTTGTGGTACAGGTCTCTGCATCCACAATCTAAACAGGTATGAACAAACTTTTTAGTGTTATTCACATTAAAGGTTTAGATTTACTAAGGCTGCAACTGTGTGCTTTGTGTCCACAAGACACAAGCTCTTGTTGGAAATTTCACAAAGTTATAAAGTGCAGACACTTCCTTCTGCCCTTCATCTTCTTCTAAGCAGAGATAGCATTCGCCGCCTCTCCTCTTCTTGTCTCTTCTCTATTTTCTTCATCTTGTAATCCCATTTGGGGATCTTAAGCTGGTTTTCGTTGCTGCTTCTGCCTGGGTTTTCTGGCGTGAAGGTTGGAGGTGGAGCCTTGCAGAGCCTGACCTTTGGCACGACAATGCCTGGCCTCACGCTCCTTCGTCTCAGCATGTTGAGTGGCAGGAGACTGGCTCTTCTAATGGCCACCGTGGACACTGCTGCCATGTCACTGATAATTTGAGGCTGCAGGCTTGCCCGTCGATCCCTCACTTTGGGAATGAGTTGGACCCTTGAGTTCTGGAAAAGCTTTTTATAGTTGCTCAGCCTGTCGGGACCCAGGCGTTTAAGTTCTGCTACCCTTTGCCTCCTCAGGATCTCCTGCACGGCTTGTCGGCGTTTTCCAATGCACGGTGGGCTACTTGGGCACACGGTGTGGCACGCTGTGGCCATGAAGGGACTAGAGATGGCTGTGGTAATCCTCACCATGTGTTCAAGAACACCATCATTCACAGGGTTTACCTTGTTGTTGACAAATAACCTGTAAGGGCAGCAAGACACGAGTTTCATCAAGCGCTGACAAAATGTCTGTGGGTTCTGTGCCTTCAACACGAGTTCCTGCAAAAGAGACATTATTTTAATGTTTGAATAACTATTAGACAGTGCATTTATACTTACAACTTAATTCAATTTTATTGCATTAACCTCCAACAATGGCCACTCCAGGGAGAAGGAGTCACAAAACTGTTCAGCACAGGGCTTTGATATAAGCCGAAGCATCAGGTCAGCCGTCTCGTATCGACCAGTGAAGAGAGCCCACTCCCTGGGGGTCATTTGCCGTCCATAGTCCCGAGCTTGGATATCACTTCCTGTGTGGAGATTTATTTGGGACAAATAGAGTTTAAAAAGCATTATCAAACATGTCAAGACATATATTTCTCAAAGCACACTTTCATATATTCTTATTTGGGTTTGCGGCAAAAAATAAATGAATGTCTTCCACTTAGACATCATGGTGATGTTTTCAAGCTAAAGCCACCCTGTTGAGACCTGAAGATGAGTCCCTGCAAAATAAGAACTTGTTCATACCTGCCAACATGAGGGCTCTTACACACTCAAGCCTGCCCTGCATTGCAGCCTTCATCAGGGCTGTGAAACCATGACAGTTCCTCCTCTCGATATCCAAACCCGGAAAGTAGTTCAACAGATAGTTGGAGATAAATGCATGACCTGTGAACCACAGAGAAATATTTGTTAATTGTGACATCTGAGTTTTCAAGGACCTGTCTGTATTCTCTCACATCACACCCACAAATCTATGTTTATGTATATTTGTTCAATAGAGCAACACAGAGTAAGGCTTGATTGTAAAATATAAGGGAAATGATGGAAGGTTTTTCAAACCTTTTACTGTCGTAAATCTAGATAAAAGTGGTTTTCTTTTATTTTTAACTTGATTATTTTTAACTTGATTGTCAAGATATTCTAAATGAAATCCAAATAAACCAGTTGCTTTTTACATTATCTACCGTAGTCATCGAATTTCCCTTTCTGTGCCATTTGATATCAGTATAAACACAGTTGTTATGCCAACAAATTGTTTAGCAAAGAACCAAAAATTTACCAGACAGGTGAGTTAAAAGTTTTCTGCTTTCAGACAAATTTAAACCCAGATCAATCCAATGGACCCTATTCTATTTATATACACAACTTCAGGCTATCTAACATTTTAAGATGTTATAGTCTAATGAGACAAAAATTGAGCTTTTTAGCTTATAAGTGACAAAACAAACTGGATCAGAAACCTGATGGTAGGTTGGGTGATGCTAAAGTAAAGGCCAACATATCTCAGACCTAATTCATAACATATGAATTTTACCAGCGGTGAAAATTAATTAGTTACATTTACTCATGTTACTTTAGTTAGGTACAATTTAAGTGTACTCTATACTTTGTTAAACAGTTTACACAAAATGCACTTATAATTATACTTGGGTGTGATTTGCTTCAGCAATTTTACTGAGTTACATTAAAGTTACATCCTTCCATAATAAAGAAAAGAAAAACTTAAGCAACATCATGATCCATCGGCTGGTTTGGAGGTGCATTATTCAGACACAGGTCACACCACAAAGCTGGTTAAATTAGCCTAAAGAGATCTAATTCTCCTCATTTACTAACTCAAAATCAAACCCAAGCATGTATATGGAGGAAAGTTGAAAAGGTTTAGTGTTTAAAGTTTTTTTTTATGTAAAAAGGGATATCATATTTAGCAGATTAGTAATAATGTTATTCTTATTAATGTTTTACTAATCATCATTTTATTTATTACTCATGGTAACCAGCATTCTTAAAAAAAAACAAAAAAACTTTTAACTAAAGGAACGGTCAGTGATTCAATGATTAAGTACATTTTCATTTATCACTTAAAGATATTAACTTCCTTGGTTATGAAATAGCATTATGTATTTTTAAACCTCTATTTCTTTATTAGGTATTTTTCCTCTGTATAGGTTCTAAAGGGAAATAATTTTAGAATAAGTTGAATTGTTTGTGCTCCTCTACTCCAAGGTTTCTCTGCTCAAGAAAGAGTAACTAAGAAACTTAATTTAATTATAGTAAAATTTTAATGACAGTTTTTACTTAAGTAAATTTTTTAACTGGTAAGTTAACTTTTATTTGATAAATTGTCTTCAAACTTTTTACTGGAGCACATTATTTTTTAATCCTTTCTACGTCTGAACTTTACCAGTATGTTTCTTCCAACCTCTAGCAATATTAATTGTTGAGGCTCAGGCACAATGCAGGCTCAGGTTATCCTGAGCTAACTCTATAATTATGCTGCTATAGGCTTAGACTGCTGGAGAACATGGGGACCTCTTTTTCATCATTCTGCTTCATTCTATCTCTATTCTCCCACTTTGCGGTAGTTGTTAGTTCAATCACTAACGTTATGCTCTCTCTGGTTATTCTCATAGAAGCTTCATCTGGTCTGTTCCTGTTTAGCTATGACTTCACCCTGGACAAAAATATCAGCTGTGCTGCTGCTATTAACACCTTTTTTTTTTATAGATGTTGGAGCTTGGCCTGTTGACCTGAGAAACTCATGTTTCTCTGACTGTGACTAACAGTATGTGCTCTCTATCATCCTTTTACATGGGAGCTGGCTCTGAGTTTGTCTGACTGGCTGTGTGTTTCCAGGACAGGTCGCCTGTGGAGCTGGTTGACAGTTGCCTTTTATATCTCTGCTTCTTTTCGTATGTCTGCAGTTGTCTCCTCTAACCTCAGTTGGCCTCGGCAGATGGCCGCTCAAACCGAGCCTGGTTCTGCTGGAGGTTTCTTCTTGTTAAAAGGGAGTTTTTTCCTCTCCACTGTCGCTAAAAGTATGCATGGTGTGATTTATTACCTTTGGGTCAATGAGTAGTTGCAATCAATTGGTTTTCTTTAGATAGAAAACTTTTAATCGATTTGACTGTAAGATCTGGTTTTATTTTTTCTGTAAAGTGGCTTGAGATGACATGTGTTGTGAATTGGTGCTATATAAATAAACTTAATTAAATTGAATTGCAGGCTTCAGAAAGCGAAGCTGTGAATGGAGCAAAAGCTTAGAGTGATGGCAAAGATGCCTTCCAGTCACAAAGAATCGGACCTCATTACTAAACAACAATTGTTGAAATACCACTGCAAACATGCATCAGGCTGCTCATTAATTATAAAAAGGGTTTGGCTGCTCGGATGCTGGGAAGGGTATAAATCATTTTGACATGAAATTATTTATTAAACAGTAACAACACTATATACGGTATTTATAATGTTTTTTTTATTCTTGAGATATGCTTATCTGCTTTCCTATCGGAAGCAAACTTTGGGGTTGAATTAAATTATGTTATATCTAAACCTACCAAGTCTAAGAAGGGTTTTAAGCTTAAATGTGAATAATAGGCAAACCCTTCAAGGAAAACTGGCAATGGCTGAAAAAACCTGAGGGTAAGAGAGGTATTCTCCTTGCAGCCAAAATAAATACTGTAACATCATATAATGAAAGTTGCAATGGTAAACAAAGAAAATCCATGTGAATAGAATGGGAGTCTTATAGAAAGCTTGATTTTTTTTTTTTTTATCTTGTTATTATCGTAAGCCTAGGGATAACCCTAAGGCCTAAAAACAGAACTTAAAGATAAATAGTAAACCTGAGCATACATAAAGTTCAACAGCAGATTAGCTTCACCTGGAAAAGATTTGGCATAGCGTATTTCCAAAATGCAGGATGCTAATACATTTCAGCAAAAGATGACTTCTGAAAATCTGGAAAAAAGCCATCAAGTCTATAGCCAACGAAACTTGTTAATACGTTTGTGTTTTTCTTGTTTTTTTTGTTTTTTTTTTGTCATATTTTTTTTTTTCATTTGTCATTCATGCATTGCAAAAGTGTAGCTTTTACCAGAGAAATGCACATTATTAAACTCCATCCTACTTGTTAAAAATAGTCTCAGCCTTGGATACTTTGTCATGAAAAATTCGTGAACCATTCAGGGTCACTCAGTCTGATTCCAATACTACATCTCAAAACTATAACTTTTGTTTTCACTTTTTCTGTCTGCTTTTGCAGAATGATGGAGCCTCAGTGTTGAGAGTATTTATTTTTTTTTTTTTTTATGAAACTGGATCGATTCCTCTTCTAATGAAGCAGAAAATGAAAAACAAGTCCTCCACTGTTTATCACAGTCTCCAGTGAGCTATTCATCATCATTATGTGATAAGAGACCAGAACTCTGTGTCTGCCACATCTGGCTGAGTCATTGTGAAACTACTGCTGATGCTACTCTGTCATTGCAAACACTTTGATCCACTAGACTTTATATTCCATGACTTTTATACTGGGCTTTGAACTAATAATTGCTTTTTTTTCCACAGTAAACTTCAGTGTGAAACTTGTAAAGTATTACTATAGATCTAACAATGTATAATAACTAACTGAAGATTCTCAATCATCCAGGGTTAATCATTCTGTTAGTCAAATTGAACCCGACGAAAGGGTTCGCCCCTTTGGAATGGGGGTCGTTTGGGTTCTTTGTTGGCCTGTAATACCAAAACCTGTCTATGTCTCTGAAAGGGGGGTTGTTAAAGGGAATTGTTACAGTTTCTGTCAACTTATTAGCTGCACTGTGGGTTTTGGAAAGCTGAAATCTGAACAGATGTCAACCCCCACCAGGACATTCTTTTGAGAGTAAGGTTCACATTTTGGACAAAGAGGACAGGTACTTTGAGAGGGGCGTGAAGGAAGCGATCCATGTAAAGAAAGAAAAACCAACCTTTAACAGAGGGGGTTGACTGAGATTTCAGCTTTCAAAAATCTACAATGCATCTTTACAGTTGATTACTTATCATGCAACCCCTACCCCCTTACAGTGGAACAGACCACCTCACCTGTCCATCCAGGCCAAAAATTCGCTCTAACGACCCCCTTTCAGAGACAAACCCGTTCGTCTGGTTAAAATTGCATGTTTTCTCAGCCAAAAAAAGGCTTTGTTTTTTGTCCAATCTATAAAGCCTCAAACTCAACTCTATTTCTGACATCTTGAATTGAAAAAGCTTCCTGGGTGGGAAGCGAAATGTCTTTAAACTTGGAAACAAAGTCCAGTGGATTGTTTTTTTTTACTTTTTTGGAATGTACCATTAAGTGTGTTTCTGGACCATATTTAGTGCTTATCACAACACTGAACATTGCATAATTCAGATTTATTTAGCACTACTTTGTCAATGTGACATCTGATACTGTACAATGCAAATGAAAGTTAGTTTGAAGGAAAACGTACGATAAACGCCTCAAAATCGAGCAGATAGATAGTGTTATAAAATCATTCCCCTGTGACCAATCAGCATCTCAAGAAAATCATTCAGTGTCAAATAAAATTACATTAATGCTCCTGATTAGTTTGTGACTGAAGCTGTTAATAGGTATCTTTTTTCTCTCAGTTTCCATTTCCCCGAAAAATACATGAATAAAAAAGAAAGTACCAGTTATGACAGTCGTTGTTCCATAGCTGGAACTTATACAACAATCTGTGTTACAATTAGTAGGGAGGCTGATTTTTGTTTACCTGCTTGAGCTGCAATAATTAGTGCGGTGTTACCCTCGTTGTCCTGCCAGTTCACATCCAGGTAAGGGCACTGAGAGAGAGCAATGACAACGTCCACATAGCCATGATAACACGCTGCAATGAGGCCAGACTAAAACACAGAAAAATAATAATGATATAAGAGTTTGATTCATTTTAATCTTTGAATTTGAATGAATAAAATACCCACAATCTACAAATGGACAATGAATGATTTTTAATCTATTACTTTAAAATTATTCCACGCTTTTTTTTTTTTTTTTTACAACAGTACAAAATTAAGCTTTTTCTAAATAGTTCAATTTCCATCTTAGAAATATGTTATTGAAGCTAATTTAATAGCTAAGAAGAGAAAAAGATAATTAATGTTAACTGTCCATTGGGGATTTCCTGCTAGATTGGTTCATTGGCAAAGCACCTAATTCTTACCATCACACATCCACTCCTATTATAATGCTTTTACTGTGCGCCTCATCGAAGGACATTCCACAATGGATCACACTGGCAAATAGGCAATTAAAACATGCTTGTATAACACCTGAAAGTTAATCTGTTCTGCCCCTGGGCCATGCTATCCTGGGTGTCGACTTATATCGACAATATCAAAATCATATAATTACTTTATGTCTTTATTTATAAAATGTAGCATCTCTCTCTGTTCTTCTACTTCATGGTTCCTACAAACAGACACCATTCTTATATCCCAATCAGTCTGAAAGTAATAAATGCAAAAAAAGGCTGTAGAAATGTATTTTACTGAATTCCATGAATCTATTTGTATCGAGAAAAATACCCCTATGTGACATACTGTTTATAGCTGTATAAATTCAGAAAAAATGTTTTCTGCGTACGGTAAATATTATTTTATACAGACAGCTGGAGGCTGCTAACCCAAATTGACATAGTAAAAAATAAAAAATAAAAACTCTGGACGATAAATATCCAGGAGGTCCATCTGGTTCTAATAGAAAGACACAACAGATGGTATCCAGTTTGCTGCCGTTTACCTAGAAAAAAAAAAATAAAAAAATCAGTTTAGCAAAGTGCCGTGCTTTCCAAGAGGTTAAGTTCTGTAAGGTTTTTCCTTTCAGAAAGCCCCAAACCCACAGAGGGGTTACCTTAATAACCGTAAATCATTAAAGCAAACCGGGGTGCACCAAACCCTCTTACATTCTCAGTCTCAGTCTCAGTGGAAGCCTCTTGCTGTTTCTGTCCATGTCTATCAGCATACAGTGTCTCCTACCCGGTAGCAAGGTCACCGTTTTTAGTGAGCTCTTTAAAAGCTGAGCCCTCAAAGCAAGCTGCTTCTTTACGTTGTCCCTCTGCAGTTTACTCCCGCCATCTGTCGAGAAGGCTTAAATGGCTGCTTGGAGTCTTATTCCTGAACTGACCTTCAGTAGTTTACCAAGTAAAACACCTACCTGTGCTTGGCTTTCTATTGAACCCAACACCACTGTTAGTGGGGACTTATATTGCTTCTTCACATCAAATCAATCACTTCTGTGTCTGTTCATTTAAGTTGTAAAATATGTCATTACAGCCCTGTCCAATGGACTGGCGAGCTATCCAGGGTGTACCCCGCCTCTCACCCATAGTGAGCTGGAGTTAGGCACTAGCAACCCTCGCCACCCCGCTTGGGGTAAGCGTGACGGATAATGGATGGATGGATGGATGGATGGATGGATGGATGGATGGATGGATGGATGGATGGATGGATGGATGGATGGATGGATGGATGGATGGAATATGTCATTACAGCTTGATGAGGTCTGTTGAAGAAAATCTCTTTAGCAACAGGCATTGAATTTCTCTTACATCAAGTAATTTATTAAAGCCAATCAATCCTTGCTATGGGTGGATCAGTACGGTAAACTATGGACAATCCAGACATCTATACTCTCTCATCTTTAGGTCAATCTAGGGAAACGACCAACATACATGATTATGAGCAGAACGCAGACAAAAGTAATGCATTAATGGATGAGCATGCAAAACATGGCCAAGTTTCCATAGCAATAACACTAGCAACTGCACAATGCTACCTACCGCTCCGCTATGCAGCCCATTTCTACTTACTGAGCACCTCCATTCCTTATACCAGTTTGAGCTCCATTTTGTCTTTAGAGATGCCTTGAAATGGCATTGCTAAAACAACTTAATGGAGAGGCTCTTATTGAAAAAGAGACATCGACAGAAAACTTCAAATCATCACATCTAGATTTTGGTAATAGCTTTTCAGGGGAAACAGATCTAGACTTTTTTTCCATAAAGCTAATATATTTAGAAGTAACTTGATCGTTCCAGCAGACTCCCACTCCCAATTATTATATAGAGGCAGTCTGACAAGTAGAAAGGTGATAGTTGAATTAATTTACTACTTTGGTGGTAAAGATGTGTTTGGGATACTTAGATTCTGTTGACCATCCAAAAGTGTAAACCCAGAAAGTATTAGCATGCGATATGAAAATCTTCTATACGAAACAGAAGAGATTGCAGTGACATGATCTAGATAGATACTTTAGAGTCTATACGCAGATTAAAAATGAAAAAAGAACACAAAAAACAATATAAAAGGTAATGAACCCAGACACCTACTCTTCTGTTCCGGTCGGTCTCTTTTACCTCTTCCTCAGTAACTCCTTGTCTTATCATAATCTTTACTATGATGGCATTGTTGTTGCAGCAGGCCTTAAAAAAGGAGATGGGTTCGGGGCTTTCAGGGCGGTAGAGGGAGCGGTTAATTTGGGAGATTACTGAATCATCTGGGGGATAGAATGAGTCATCTGAGGTGATGCTCTGGGTATCCAAGCGATCCGGTAGGGCATCGAAGTCCAGTTCCTCAAACTCCTGATAGATATCGTCCTCATCCTCCCAGTAGTTTCGTGTGTAATCAACTTCAGTCTCAGGATTAATGTCTTCTCCTGATACCACACAGTCAAGTCCATTTTCATCAACCTTGCTGATGGACATAATGGGTGTATCCACAGCCAAGCTGCTGGCTTTTCTATGAGTCCTGCCAAGCTCAACTCCGCCAGGAAATCCATTCTCTTTAACCTTTGATTTCTTCCCTTGCTCCTCTGTTATTAACACCATTTAAAACATCCCCTGGCCTCACTTACCTTTTGAAATTCATGTGGGGTGCCAATAAATTCTTTTATAGAACCCTGAGTTTACATCCATTGCCCCAGAGCACCATAGTGTCTCATCCCATTCACCAAAGGGTGAAATCCAAGTTAGGACTTGAATTTTAAGAGTTTTATAAAGAACCGAAAAAGGCCAAAGACGAAGCATGAGAACTTGGGACTGCATTAAAAATCCTCCAACATGGTTTAACGCATCTAATTCAATTTCGTGTGAAATCGGGATTTCGCAAAACTTTGCAACTCGTCCTCAAAGCTCTGAACATATGCATGATCTTTGACAGTCCCTCTGGACTGGTAAATATTGATAAAAAAGAGTCAATAACGACAAACTGTACTTGCTGTTCCTCCTCAAGGAGATTGCCAGTGACAATTTTTTTAAAATGGAGTCTAAAATGTCCAGAAATATCCATGAGTTGCAGAATACAGAAAAGCCATAGCGCTCTTCCACGTGACTTTTGACAGTGACCCTGTAAGTCACATCTTTGGCATTGTGCGATCCTTGCACTGGAAGAAGATGTGACACCCCAAATTCCTAGATTCTTGTGGTCCCACTCCGAAACTAGAATCAGAAGAAACTGCCGGTGCTGAGCAACTAATCCTGGGTTTCCCTGTGGAGGAGGACTGGGCTGTCTGATGGCCAGCTCTGGGATGAAAGGGATTCTGTTGAACTGCTTCTTGATAATCCATTTAGTCTTTCTCTCTCTCGCTCCCTCACTGACTGGTGCTCTTCTGTTACAATATGGTGTGACCTAAAACTGACTGATTCAAGCATGCAGAGAGGATTACAATGTTTAAAACATTCTCTGTCCATATGAAGGAATCCATAAAGCTTTTTTTATAGGAGGATAGAAAAAAATTACATTGGTTATTTTCATACCTGCTGCATTCCTACTTTAACACAAATATGCCTATTAGTGAATTGTCACTGCTTTTATCTCCTGCTGCACTTAACACAGCCAGCTTAAATTGGATTTCCAGCACACGTGACCTCGTTGGTATACAGGGTACAGTGGAAAAACTAGGATTGATCCAAACTTTAGCCTTGCCACCTCTTTCAAAATGAATTTCAAATCATTCAGTTATGCAGTTAGTAAATAACAAAGGTGTCAAGTAACAAAGTACAAATACTTCATTACTGTACTTAAGTAAACTTTTTAGGAATCTATACTTTTACTCCATTACTTTTTTTTTTCCTACTTCTGACTTCTACGCATAACATTTTCACACATGTATCTGTACTTTCTATTCCTTACATTTTTAAAACAAACATTACTCAATACTCTTGGCTTCGGTTCAGTGTTTATAAATATTTATTTCACCTCATGTGCGCTGTCCAATGCAGATCATTGCTGCCATCCACATCTAGTGAAAACTAGTGTGATTGGATGAATCATATAACGCAAACACTCATTGGTCAGCTAAAGGAAATCATCAGAAGCAAGCAGGTGTTCTTCAAACTGCAAACATGAATTGTCTATGCCATGCTACAATGTTGGATTCAGAAAAAGATGTTGAAATGTCTGAAAGGTCGGACACAGGCAAGAGCGTATCGGGAGACGGAGACCAACAAGACCTCCCTCATCCTTGGCCCTGTCTCAAAGAATTTTTCGAAATAGTCGAACAATTTAGCTTTTAGTTCACATAGTGGTATCTGGCTTTTTTTTTTTTTTTAAGTTACTTTATACTTTTATACTTTAAGTAGTTTTTGGAGCACATACTTTTTCACTTTTACGTGAGTAAAGAGGTCAAGTTGATACTTCAACTTTGATACTTCAAACCAGAGTGTTTTTAAACTGCAACATTTATACTCTATTTTAGAATGTGTGTACTTTTGACACCAATGGTAAATAAAGGGGATTCAGAGTAAACAAGAGGATAAGAATCAGTATATAAATATTAAAAGCTAAACAAATACCTGCAACATGCTGGACAAAAATAGTGTAGTGAACAAGCAACTGAATAGATGAATTTGATCTTATCTGCATTAAGATTAGAACTGTAACGCTACTGAATTTAGTATGTTCATTAAAGCACAGGTGAAACTTTAAATAAAGATCGAACAGGAAAAGCTAACGAAATGACAGAAATAACCAAAGATGCAATAGAAAATTATTTAGCAAGGACAAATTAAAAAGAAATAAAGGGGGAAAATGTTTTCTAAATACTGACAATGATTATTGGATTCAAAAGAGTAAAGCTTATGATATTCAGGCTGCTGATGTGGGCAAAGTTGGAAGACGGAGAAAACAAGCAGAACACAGAAAAGACAACTGAACCGAGCAGGAAGGAGCACAAGTGTTGGTAAAATAAAAGAACAAAAGTGGAATAGGTAAAACAGGAAGTAATTAGAGCACAAAGTTAAGAGGAAGGCTCTAAGAGGAGGAACCAGGCTCTAAAAGAGGGGGAATCCTGTCAATTATCTATCATCACTTGGTGCTTTTACAGGTAAAGAGCCTCATTTTGAGCTAACTACAGAGAAAAAAGCCTTAGAGCTGAAACTGTGTCTTGGCAATGCATGATTTAGCCGTCTTTAAGTTGTGCAAGTAGGAAAGAGATATAAGTAAATGGGAACACCTTTTTTAACTTGTTGTAAATAACATTTGAATGAGACAAATGGGATAAAGGGATCAGTACAGGAAAGAAGGGAACAAAAGACCGCCATATTGAGGTGGTTCATCACATGGTGGCTTTTGGGCAGTTACATGGTAATGTTTGCTTTTATCCCCAGCAAATTATGTAATATATAGTCAAGTCACAAAATGTTTAATTCATCTCCATCAAATTTACTAAAATAACATCTTCTTGACACCCTATATGTCACTCCAGCTCCTTAAGGAGGCAGAGACCAGAGATGCTTTATCCACAATTTGTTCGTCATAACATCGGTTAAATCCGCCCCTGAGAAATGGAGACAAGGGTGGAAACGTCAGGTTTGGCTAGGCACAGGAATCTGGTGTTAGCTGCATTTGTTCCTAATCTGCACTTGGACTAACTGTTGAGACTCTGCATTAGCTGCAAGGTAATTGGATTGTGTTGAAATAACTCCACATCCTGTTTCCTAGAGCTGCAGTCGTTTTCCTGCACCAGAGATGATCCCATGTTAAGAAACAAGCTGTCATTGAACATATAGTAGTATATTTTATCAGATGATAGGAAGCATAAACATATTTGAGCACAGCTGTACTCAGTGGTTAAGCTTGTGATCGACCCTCTAAATTCTAGCTTTCACTTGGGACTGAAAGAAATCTTAGATTAAAATAATAAATTAACAAGAACCTTTTTTTTTTTTTTAGGTGAGGGGCAACATTTATATTTATGATAAGATAAAGTTTCAATTTCAGGAGTTTGTCTAGCTGCCAGTGCTCATCTGAAAGACAACAGATATCCCCTTTTTCTGTTATAACATATTTTATTGTCTATGATAGAATCAACAATCAATAAAACTTTTACGTTTTATTTCACGTTACAGTACATGCCACTGCCTTTTTGCACATATAAAAAAATAGAACTCATTTGCTTCTAGAAATTGAAATTCAACATTAAAATTCATTGCGTCCAGCTCAGCTCCAAGGTACTAAAAAGGTCACTTTATAGCATCTTTCTGAGCATTCAACACAGCAGCAGAGCTACGGGTACTAGAAATAAAGCCAAACTTACGATCCGCCTTGGCAGAAAAGTATTAATACTAACTAAAATGTGAAATTCATTACAAGAAACAAAAAAAAAAAATCATTTCTACCAGGCAGTCGCTGCCGACAAATTCCGCTGTCTCAGCATCAGTCTTGTTAAAATGCAAATCCAGCTATGTTGATATTGTAACAGACTGAAATAATTGCAAAAAGGAACATAAAGTGCAACACAGTAGAATATGTAAATTAATTAACATCTGTTACCCTTCATGACCATTACTGATTCAAAACAAATAAATTAAACTTCTCTTTAGGACTGCAGAACACAACAGAAAATGTGACTCTTCTCACTGGCAGTAATAATGTTTCAGAGGTATGGGTCTTTATTTTTTAACCACTGAAAAACAACTAAACACCCATGCATGTCTAAAGGGTCTTAAAAGTCTGTTTTTTTCTGTAGAATGGGTCCATAACTCTGTTAAAGAACATCTCTAGATTGTAAAAGTAGAGCAGAGCAATGTAGAGAACTTGGTCCAACAAGTGAGAGGCTGAGCAGCCAACAGCCAGTAAGGTTTCATATTCACATGCAGAGTGTTGAAGTGAACAGTAGGTGGTGAAGGAAGTGAGGCATGGCGAGGATGTTTAGCGAATCTCCCCAAAGTTAAGAGTGTACTACATAAACTTCATCTTGTCCAAAATACACGTAGTTTAGGAGGAGGCTAGTGATAAAAATACAAACTGAGCTCCATTTGTCATTAAAAACCACGTCATTTCAGACATTCTAAAATTATACAGAGGACACAAACACATCACCGCCATGCAGGTATCAGCGATTATTTTCACTGCAAATTCAAATCTAAATAGGTATTTCTTTTCTTAAAATAACTGTATTTTTCTTGAATTAAGGAGGTAAGTGAGACACTTTGCCAATGGAATAAGACAATTTACATTTAAAATAAGAAAAAAAACTATTGCTTTGTCTTATTTCAAGTGCATATTGTCTTATCTTAAGAGTAAAAAAAAAATTCCATTTGCAAGTTATCTTATTTACCTACTCAAGTTAAGGGTAAATAGACTCAATTTAAGACATTTTTACTTATTTCTAGATTGTTTTTGCAGTGTTGTTTCAGTTTTTTTCCCTGTGGCTGATTCAGTTTGCAGTTTTGAAGCTGGTTTGTTAGATATACATGGAACATTTCATGATTCCATGCTTTAGTGAAATACGATCATGGACACAGAAATATAGAAGCTGCCCTTTGAGTGAAGCTTGAATCATCAGAGAATCAGACTGCCAACTGGGGAGCAACCATCAATCATTTCCTGTTCTGTTTAATGCGGTTATCAAAATGTGTCTAACTCGAGTTACGTCAGATTGTACTTCTTAAAACGCGAATCTTAAGAACTTATCAGAGCAATCCTCTGGCTGATTCCCACTCAGAAGCCTCTGTCTCTCTCCATATTCCCCACTCCCATTCAGACCATACACAGCATATATGGAACATACACCAAACCCCACGTTGAAAGAGAACTTCAGGAGTGACGCGCTGGAAAACGCAGCTTTGAAATACTGCAGTGCCTTGAAAAGATGAGGGCCTATTTGAACCATTTCCCCATGCAGAAAAGGCTAAATCTTGCTGCTCAGTTTTCAGCTTTACTGTAAAAACTTTACAACTCCATGAAGTCTGCAGAGCTGCGAACAGATCACTGAGCTCCAGCCTTTTCTGCATTTGAAAGTTTAAAGCACTTTAATGCAGCTCTTGATCAAGTTTTCTGAAAAAGAGTGGTTTCACTGAGCTTTTTCAGACTGGATCACAAATCTCTACCAATTAGAAATGTTTGGGGACATGTAAATACTTCAACCGCGCACAGTATGCGTTAGAATTTAAACAAAGAACTCCAACCAGTTAGAAATTAGATTTTCTCATCTATTTGACCTAATAGAGACAACAGTAGCTTATCAAAATATTCAGATATTCTACTGAAAGTAAAAACATAGCAGCTAAAGTTTTACCAAAGTGGACCGTAGTTGTTTTCTACCTCTACATTCAGTGTTGCCTTATTTTATCTATTGCTTTATTTCCACTTTTCTTTTCTGTTCATTTATACAATTATCTAAAGTGTTACCAGGCTCTTTAGTTTTAACAGTGACGGTGGGAAAAGTTGAACTGAACTTAAAATTGAACACAGTAGTTATGGTTACCTCTGTGTTTGCTCAATTCTAGTTCTGTCGCCACACTGAAGAAAAAGAGTTTCCAGATTCATCTTTAGCGGCTCAACCTAGATTCTGTAAGACAGCAATAAGCCTTTTCCCATCTTTTTTTACCCAAAGCTAAAATGATTCAGTTTTTAAATGTGTAAAAACAAGCTTTAGAAGGGCTCTACTGTTAAAACTTGGAGACTAACGTCATAAAAAGAAAAACATGTTCTTCACATTTTCAACCAGAAACCTTTTTGTTTATCATTTTTTTTCTCAGCCTCAGAAGAGACTTTAAAATTAAAACCATCCTGTTAACCATGGATGCAGGACTATGGAAGTTAGCCAACGATCTCCTTCACAAATCTAAACTATATAAAGGACGACAGATTTATTTTTTTTCTCCAATGTTTTCAAATGGAAGCTCAATCTAAGGTAAACGCTGAGCTCATCTGACCTGAATTTGAAGCAAGCTTCTGGAAAATAAAACAAATATCACCTGAGCAGGGGACTAGATCAGAAGGACCAGTGAGGGATGTTTAATTCTGCCAAGTTTGATTCAAGCAGAGAGCTTAAGAAGCTTAAAGACTTTGTTCAGAATTTTAACCTCACATGAAAACTTCTGGGGCAGAGTTTTCATGGGAGACGGTTGCTTGAGTTTGCCTGTCAAAGTCTTTGCTTCCCACACTGTAACCGTGGGAGATGCTGGAGAAGAAAGGGATGGGGCTGAAGTCAGAGGTTTGATATGTAGTCTTTGAAGATGAGAAGAGAAACAACAGAGAAAGGAGCTCCTGAAGGCCCCCGGTGTGAGGCGGGGTGTCAGCTTTATGAGGCGGTGCTGTGAGAGGTGGAGCTCCTGCCCGTCTTCCGCTCATAGTTTACCAATCGCTGTCCAACCAGGTATCTGGTGGAAAACAAAAAACACAAAGCATGTGAATTTAAACAAACACTGAAAATGACAACTAGATTATAATCTTTGTTTAAAACAAACACAAAGGTTACTGCAGTTGTTTTACAATATTAAGTATATTTTAACATTTAAACCCTTTAGAACAGTAACCTGGATTTTATTTTTCTATAAATATGCTATGAAACAAACTAAAGTAGTGTATGATTTTGAAGTGGGAGAGTATCCAAAGTTTTCTGCATTTTTTCTGCAAAAAAAACTCCCAAAACACTAGCAGTGCTACAGTAGGCAGCAATGCTAAGTACCTCCCTTTCAGAGGGTAGGGGATTTACACCCTAAAAAAATGATTTCCACACTAAAACATGGTGCAAAGAAACAGACCAAATGATTGCATTTTAGATCATCTCTATCTAGTCTGACAGATCCTGAGAAATTTCTCAAATAACCATAAAATGTTAGCCTTGAAGTTAATTGTCTAACTTCTTCCTCATATCTATCCACCACAATGTGGAAAAAATAACTTCCAATAAAAGACACTGAAGTCTGTAGTTGGAATGAGACAAAATGTAAAATGGTTCAGTAATTTTTTTAAAACTGTATAAGGAAGGTCATGAAATAGATGTTAGATTCTGCTGACTTGTCGTTTTTGATGTGCTCATAAAGTCGTTTGAACTGGCGAATCTGAAAGGACAGTATGGCCAGCAATATGACCACCATCAGCAGGAACGGATAGATTCTCCTCTCCACCAGTATCTGCATCTCTGGCTGCACTCCTGGAAAAAAAAAAAGAGTAAGAAAAACAAAAAACTAAAGAGGATAAGTAATGGAAAGGACTCGCACATGTGCAAAAAGAATGAGAGCAGATCTCTAAATGAAACATAAAGCCAAATGTGGGACTTATTACAGGGAATGTCACAGATTAAGGTTCACGTAAAGCCGATGCGAAGGACAAAAAAAAACAAAAAAAACTAGTAAGTAAAATTTTAATGAACATAGTTTGTAGAATGAAAGTAGATTTAAGCAGCAAAATTTACATTTATTCTTTCTTGACATTCTTTCTTTTCTATTTTTTCTGGATACAGTGACTATAACTAGTACTACACAGCAACATTTATTCACTTAAGTAAAGATAAAATATCAAATATTCAACCTTAACACAGAGACATGAAAGATAAACACTCAGAGGCGTACCCAGTAGTGGTGTGAGGCCTTTAGAGACGGTATAGGGCACACACAGCGACAGCAACAGAAGACAAATAACGGGGGCGCCCAACCGCCTGACGATGAAATGAAGGTCGATGTTTCTGATGCCGTTAGCATAAACCTGCAGGAAGGAGGAGGTGCTGTTTACTGGATAAAAACATCTGGAATATCGATACAACTGAAAAACCACCTCAACCAAAGCTATAAAAAAATTGCAGTGTTTTCATTTAGCAAATTTATTTTTCATAATTACAATTTATACAATTTGATGGTTAATGGAAATACAGCTAGGGACTGATATGGATTTCTTTGCTTAAACTACTAAGGGCAGCTTACAGATAATTTTTTATGACTGTTTCTTTTGTTACTCACACAGAAAGGAGAATACTACAAACACTGCCACTTTGGTAATAAGCTAAATAATCATCTAAATGTATGATGATAATATTTCATATTCAAATGAAAAATTATTTAGAATAAACTTCAAGAAAAAGCATAAATACATTAGTATTTTATCTAAATGTAAATAAACTAGGGATGGACCGATATTAAAGTTTTGGCCCAAATCAATAGCTGATATTGACATTGCTGTTATGACAGATAACCAATATTTACAGGTATTGTATAATTCTCTAGCCTTTTATAACCTTAAAATATATATATGTATTACACAAGCAACCAGAGGTAAATACTTTTCCTTTTCCCAAAATATCTCAATAATTTAATCACGCCATGTTCTGCCTAATAAAACTACAATGTGTTATTATTACATTCAATGTCTTATTAATTATTCACAGAACCTTTTTATCAGTAGACTACAACCTTTTGAAAGAGAAGCAGACAAAGCACAAACAAAAGCACAAACCAGTCCTGCATGCAACAATACTGAGCTCAAAGTAACTGGTTTGCATCTCCAGATAGATGGTAGATAAAACTACAACAGAAATCTGCAGGCCACTCGAATCACAGGCCAAATGTTTCATATCATGTCTATAAACAACAAGTTGTTTTGGCATCTTGCACAGTGCTCAAACATCCCTGTTTCTGCTTTTTGTCTTTCTGATTGAATGCAAGAAAGAGCAAAGTGAGACTCACCTGCTCAATGACAGTTTTTAGCCACCACTGGGGGCCCATCAGTGTTATAGCAGCAATGATTTTTGCATGAAGGACACCAAGGGCCCAGTCCTGGAGCAAAGGACAGAAACATGAGTTCAGCATTTATTTTCACAAGTCTTCCTTTGTGTGTCATGGATATTCTTTAATAAAAGTATTTAAACTTAAGCATTAAAATACTTAGCTTATTAAATATAACAGTCATATATGCCTCTCCTTTAATCATGTATAATTTTTCCAACTCATAATGTAATTCTATAAGATCTAAGTTCTTCATGTCTGATTTACCCTCCATACATTTTTTTTCATACAGGTGTAAATAAATTAGGGACGCAATGATGATGATGATTGCAAGTGGTCTACCAAAGATAAAAATAATCAACTGCGTTCATGAATCAATGCTTATTGTTTATTCTGGCAAAAACCTGCAGTTTGATTTTTGCAAATCCTTTCTTTGTTTGGCTTCAAATGAAAAGAGTTCAGGTTTAGTTCTGTCTGAGAGTCATCCCTTTAAGAGGATGTTGTAAATACCGTTGATTGCTTCCTGGATCAAGAACTTGAAGATGTAAAGTCTGGTCTTTAACACTAAACACTTTAATGCTGAAAAAATATTTTAAATGGATGAGCTATTAGGTCCAAAACAGCTTTGAAACAAAAACAAGGACCCCAGTAACTAATTCAACCTCCCTTCAAATGTGATTCTTAGTTGCACTTAGTCAAATAAAGCATTATTCTATGGACTTTAACTTTATTTTCTCTTTCATTAATATGATGAACTTTCTATAGATAATAAAAAACATCGCATCAACTTTAAATCATTCACAGGTTGAAATGATTAACTTAAAAGTTCCTGGAATCAAACTAGTTCCAGGACTAAATCGCTGCCCAGCATAAGTGCTTTTTCCACAGTTAATCTAGAGGTAGAGGTGCTATCCTCAACAGATACAGGTGAAGAGATGCTGTATTTGCTTTGCTTTTGATCTCTCTAGTTTAAGACAAATACTGTGCTTCAAAAGTAATCAAATGTTTGATTACCTCATGGAGACGTTTCTTTAGGCAAAAGAACCAAACAGCAGCACCAGATGCTGATATTTTCCATTTAAAACTAATTTCAACTCAAATCTTAAACACAGACAGGTAGAGCTAATAACTGCAGTAAAGGTGGTGCTCAACTCGTTTTCCAGCACTGCTGATACAAACTACAGATCTGCTGATGGGCCTCCTGAAACATTTAGAACAGGCATAAAAAAACCTAGCTTTTGATATTGGTGTTATTAGCATCCTTTTGTTTTTGTTTTTTTCTGGTATACTAAAATGAATATTGCATGAAGATTAACGACCTCCTTCTATTGTTATCCTCCATAAAAAAAAAACACTTCAGTATTGACTGGGTGACATATTTATAATTACATGCTTTATTTTTTTGCTCTGTAGTTGTGGGAAATCGAACTAGTTATTTTCTAAAACCAGTTAAGAATTAGCAGTGGCACTGTTTATACATTTAAATCATTTTGGTGGAAAAGTCCAAATGGATACTCTAATAAAATAGCAAATGCCTAAAAGTTTTACTAAGTCGAGCAATTTATGTTAAAAAAGAACTATTCTGCAAAACAAATAAAATAATAAAAACTGGCATCTAATGTGAAAACATGATAAATAATTAGATATTTAAGTATTTCTGAAATCTGATCTCACCCTGTATTCCAAACATTGACATACTGTATAGTCCTACCTGCCATGGGTAGAAGAGAGGAGTCTGGTCCAACGGGACTCTAAGAGGAGCAACGATGACGAGGTCAAACAGCAGCCCCAACAGCAGAGGAATCACCCCAGCTAACATCACGGCCACTACAACAGTCTTAAAGATCTGCAGTCACAAAAACAGTGACACAATTCAACCTTTGAAGAGCAGAGTTTTTGTCATCAGAGACAAAGAGACTGATACTGGCATTACCATAAGCGTCCACTCGTGGACTTTGATCATGATAACTGTCCTTCCCTGTGGCATCCAGGACAGCAGGACAGTGGCGGCTCTGATGGAGACCCAGCAGACGTACAGACCGCTGGCTGCTGTATATAGCTCATGGACCACTGCACTGCCCATCCACAGAGACATCAGCCAACGACCCACGTACACTGAGGACAAAGCAGAGGAAACATCAGGACTGTCAGAGAAAAAAGAGAGAGGGAAGGTCACAAGACACAGTGTGAGATGTGATAGAAATACTGGCACTGAAATAATATAACTCTGATATACTGCTCTAAGAACTTTATTTCTTTCCTTTCAATGTTCTTTGTTTTATTCTGGTAGAAATAAAGATTACTAGAGATGAAAACAAAAACCTCTACAAGCTTGGCATGAAAAATCTTTGTTTTATTTTACAATGATCATAATTATTGCAATGAGTTTAATTTGAATATTAACAACTGTTAAAACTGTTCAACTTGCAATTTCTATCAAAATCTGTTGTCATGTTTCATGGTTATTTAATACATATACATTAAGAAGTGTTATTTAAAAAGTTTGTTTAAAGGAAAGCTCTGTGTTTACACCTTAAGGCATTCTCTCTATGGTTCTTTTTTCTGAAAAGCGATCTCTCGGGACAAACTATTTATAAACTCACACTTCATCAACGATAATTATCCTAATAACACACACAAAAAAAGATTACTCCTTAACTCTCCACCTCTCTTTCCTACAGCCATTAACACCAACAACCTTCCAGATTCCTATCTAACTTATGAGCCCATATGTCCACTAACAGGTAGTAGAAATATTACCTGTAGCCCACACATCCACAACCAAAATGTATGAAATTATGTGTACACCCTTGTTGTTACTGGGGAGTAATGTCGGTCTGGTTAAAGGGCACTATTAAAGTGCAGATTATATTATCCCTGTTTTATTTAATGGCTTAACTTTTTTCACTGCATAGACATTCCTCCTGCCTCTAACTGGTTCCTTCTGACATGTAGCAGTGTTTTTTTATTTTTTTATTTATGTTATTTTAATCAAATTTGCCCATTTGCACCTTTAAGGAGAAATCACAGAATCAGCACAACAGATCCTGCAATTAAAAAATAAAATAAAATTGGTGATCAAAGAAAGTTAATTAAATCTGACCGGTCCATTTTTTTTATCCAAATCAACCAAGATGTGTTTTTCTGTCTCATTTCTGTTTACCTGCACATCTAACAGTGCAGGTTATGCTTACCTGGCAGCGTGAGACAGAGCAGACTCGCAAGTAACAGAGTCACACACATGAAGACCACCAGCATAATGATCTAAACAAGAACATCAAGAAAAAAAATTAACATATGAACAACAAAACTCGCTTGGAATCATTTAAAAGTTGTTTTTTTTTAAGTACCTTAAGGAGGAAGTTAGGGGGTCGGTGGTAGGGTTGGAACCCCACAGGACCGCCCTGCTGCAGAATGGCCTGGTGGGCAGCATGGAGCCCCTCTCCAAGCCCAGGGATGCGGTTGTTATTTAGTCGATTAGGGGGGTTATTTGGTTGGTTTTCATCATCTTCAAGGTCGCCCAAAAGGTACGAGTGAAGGTCACTGTGGGAGGGCAATTTATTTACAATTTCATACAGTAAGTGATATGATAAGAGAGAAAATTACCTTTGTAATTTATACCTCAGCTTACAGTTATAAATGGCCTAACTGTGTTTAGAAAAATGCTGAATGTCTATGGAGTAATTAGTATAAAACCTACAGCACATATCCAGCTGTGAACGTCCAGGCGTGGACAAGACGTTTGAGCCACTGGCGAGTGTGACCTTGCTCCAATAATGCAGGCAGAACGACCTGAAGCAGCAGGAGTTCCAGCGACAACTCGCTGACTGGAGCATCACTGCAGGAGCAACACAGAAAACAAGTTTCCTAATCTTGACTTTATGATACATGTGTAAAAAAACACACAGGTTGGTTTTTCTTTACTCTAACTAAGAAGGAACAGCGATTTAGACATCATTTGGTTCCGACGCACCTGTATAGCATGACATTATAAGGAAGGAAGGCTGGGAAGAGCAGTTTAATGATCCTGATCGGAAGCCAAAGCATCAGTAGAACGATTGAGCCAAACACCACCTGGAAGAGAAAACACACAGAGGTAAACAAAAACTGCAACTGCCAGTGTTCCAGTGAGACAATGAATGAAAAGCTCACATAACATTTGCAAGCTTCAAAATTCTGACTTTTTTTTTACTGACCACTGAGAGTATAAACCTCCGCAGGTGTCGATAGATAGGAAGGTGAATCATCTCTTGCACTGGGTTGAAGTCTGGATCATTCAGGTTCCTCAAAAACCACAGCACACCTGGTCGAAGAACCTGATCACACACAAACGTATGCACAGTAAATAACATTTTTACAATGCTGTTTTTCATAACTGCGAGCTGCTGTGTGTGTTCAGTCACCTCTCTGAGCAGAAGGATGAAGGAGGCAAAGTAAAAGACATAAACCATGCCGACCAACCAGTGGAGGAACATTGTGGTACCTGGAGCAGAGTCGAAACTCTGCTCTCTGTCCTTCAAACTTGCATCAAACATTTCCTGCAATTAAAGAATGACAACATTTTAATTCAGTTCTTCACATAAACAATCCATAAAAAATTAGCCCAAAAGGTTAAAGTGTAACAAGTTTTCTTCTTCTTCTTTTTTTTTTTTAAAGACCAGGAAGCGACACTATTATAACATCTACATTCTGCATCTTTGCGTACCAGAGAGCAAATGTCCAGCCACCAGCCACAAATGAGCGGGAACAAGCCGATCTCCATGACAACCAGTAGGGAAACCTGGGACAATCAGAAAGAAAAGAGATGAGCCTTGCAATTAAGTCTGTTTTCATTTTATCAAAACGATCCTAATTGTTGTTGACATTGAAAGCTCTGCTAATTCCCTACACAGAAATTAAACTAAGTGTGGAAAGAGAAATATTGAGCACTGGTTCTCTTGCTTACCTTCACAACAATGTAGCAGACACCTAGAAGGCGTCTGGACCGCTGGAACTTCACTAGCGAAGCCAATGCCTACAGAAGTCACACTTAAGGACTCAAACAATTCGACATAAAAAAAAAACCCTGAATTATTAAGAAATAGTCTATCTCTAGTGCTCATTTGATGAGCCAATCATAAAGCACATTTTATTTGTTTTAAAACGTAATTATGCATCATTTCCTTGACCTTCACAATTAGTAGCTTCTTTTTGTTGTTAATTAGATTAATACCCAATAAAATGAAATATATTTTGATGATAAACAAAGGGATTTGCAGTACGAAGAGGATACATGACAGACCACAAGAGCAGCAGCCAGTAGGATGTATCCCAGTATCGTGGTGATGAGGCCATCAAAATGTGACGCTTTGACCTACAGACACAAGAAATGTTTTTATACGTATGATCCAAGGGAGAATGATCCCAAAACAGTCTTAATTGAAAAGCTCTGCATTGTTTGTTCCAGTGAACTTACATAGTCTTCAAAGCCCAGACCAACAACTGAGAAATGGCCGATGTGATACGGGCAAAAGGCTTGATGGAAAATACAGAGTAGTTTAGAATAGGACTGTTGAAAACGAGCCTCAAGTGATCATATCAGGACGGGCAAAAAGAGGGTTGAAGTTCCATATAAAGAGTGAAAGAACTCACCAAACACCAAGATGAACAGTGTGTTGAGAGACACCACCCAGAATACATGCTCCTAGAGAGAAAAACAGCAAAGGTACAGGAGGGATCATTTGAAAGTATTTACACATTTTTATTCAGTGTTGTGGTTCTCACTAAAACCTCACACATCATAAATTTGGGGTCTTGTAAAGGATGCAATAGAATCTATCATACTTTCTCATGAGATGGGTTATTATTTTTGAAAAGATGATTTTAAACTACGGAAGAAATTACTTACCAGAAAAACAAGGGAACCATCTAGTCCAAGCATCTGAGACACACATGGAGAACAACATTATAAACAATAGTTAGCATGTCTAAAAAAATCATATCTATAGTTCATTCAGGCTGCTGGAGTGAGAGAAAGCAACGGAGTAGAGAAAGTAACAGAACAGCTAAGTTGCTGTTTTGTTTTCCTGAGCTGAACCTCCATGAAAAACCATGCATGATTCAGAAATAATGACAGCCATTAAGGAAATATCAGTATTAAGAGAGGGATCTACATCTAAAAAGTGTGTGTGTATATATATATATATATATTTTTTTTTAGGGATGGAACGCTTTATGAAAACCGTCCGAACCGTCCGGTTCGACTGTCTCGGTTCGATTTGCGTGTGTTGCGTTCGGTCCATGCGCAGCTCCTTTTTCTCATAGGCGAAGCGTTTACACTCCAGAGCAGAAGGTGGCGGTACTGCGACCAAAGCCAACCACCAGTAGTAAACAAGAAGAAGAAGAAGCGAAGCAGCCGAGTGTAGCAGAAAAAAATCAGTTGTTATGGAGAATTGTGTGGGTATGGCGAGTGGGAAAGAACAGAAGTTGGAAGACGTGCCAGCAGCATTTTATAGGTCTGCTGTATGGGACCACTTTGCATTTAGAGTGACCTACGATGACGGCGGAAAGAAAGTTGTGGATAAAAGTGCAACAGTGTGCTAGCATTGTGCAACACGCATTGTACTATACAAGACATAATAGATTTTCCTAACAATCAACATATACCAAACCGAAAACCGTGACCACGAAACTGTGAACCAAACCAAACCGTGGATTTTGTGAACCGTTCCACCCATAATATAAATATATATATAGTTATTATAAAATCCTGGAGAACTGTGGAAGCAACAAAACTATCTTGTGAATTAGTCTCTATCATAAGTTTTTTTTTTTTAGTTTTTTACTAGTATGATTTCTTTTTACTGCATTTGGAAATGTACCCATAGGGAAAGAGAGAGACCACTCATAAGAGCAAGCATAAAACTAATACTCCTCCTACTGTAAACTTATGTTCTTATTCTTCAAGAAAAACTGGACTTAGGCTAAATCTGTATTAGCAGGTGAAACCTACAACTGTAAAGCTGGTAGTCAAGTAATTCCTTTCTATTAGTAATCAGGCTATTTTTCAACCCTAAAAATTTAAAAAACATAAAAACAACTTGAAATAAAACCAAAAGCGCCTTTAATAACTGATGGCACCCTCAAAAACTGATCAGAAAAATATAAACACCTGGGAAAGGTGAACATTTTGTTTTTCAGCTTAAATAATCTTGGAGGCGGTAGTCATGAATGGACTCTTTGGTATCTTTGTTAGAAATACGGTGAGGTTAGACGTCATCAGTAGAGGGCAGGATACAGATAAAAGGAAATAAAGATGCCCACCCTCTCCCAGGTCAGCTCCTCTGCTGCTCGGTCCCACTCTAGAGCGTTCCAGTTCAAATCTTCTGCAAAGAGGAAGCATGCTCAGAGAAACAGGAAGGTGTATTGACAATCTTACCGATCCTTGTGAACTGTTGCAGTGTTAAGAAGATGGTTATAGACCAACTGAAAGACAACCTAAACTCAAATCTCTTTTGTGTTAAACTTAATTAACCAAACACAACATTTATAGGAGTTCAGTAATAACTGAACGAAACAAAAATGCATTTAAAAACAAAACTTTAGATATTAACTCACCTTGCCCCCCGTTATTGGCATCAGCAGCATCCTCCCTGCCTTCTTCCTCCTCTTCCTCATCATCTTCTTCCCCATCGTCGTCATCATCATCCTCCCCTTCATCATCATCCAACTCTCCTTCATCTCGGTTGTTGCCAGCTTCCTGCTGATTGGCCAGGGCCGGCTCGTTGGGGCCGTGCTCTGCAGGGAGCTGCGGCCCTGCAGCATCTGCAGCAGCCGGGACATTGGCTGCTAAATTAGCGACTGGATCCTGCAAAGCAAAGAATTGTATAATAAGAAGCAAATTTGAGTTCTGGTTCGGCAGCAAAACCCAACTTTGAATAATAGAGGATTTGTTGTAGACATTTCTGTGTCGTTCAACCTGTGCAGGAAAACTGACCAGGAATCTAGCAGACTTTCAGCAAACTGAGCTCACCTCATTAGCTTGTGCAGGACCATCAGGCTGGTTCGGAACCAGGGGGGGTTGATTATGCTCTAACCACTGTGGGGCTCCACCATGGACAATCTGCTCTCTTAGCCACACCAGACTGATAAAGGCACACAACGTGCAAGTGACCACGAAGCAGCCCTGGAGGCAGTCAGCGAGCAGGTTCTGGCTGCAAGTAAAAAAGTAAAAAGTTCGAATGTATGTGATTATCTCTCTATTTATACAAGATAACAGAAGGCAGTGACAAGGTGAAAACAGGGATGAAAGGAGCAGTGAAAGAAAAACCTTCATATCTTCATGTTTGAGCAGGATTTAAGACAAGTGAAAAGTGTTAAAATCCAATATGTTTAACTCTCCAGATTCCATAATGGTTTCTAGGGCTGGGCGACCTGCACCTAAAAGCTTATCATGATATTGGATAATATTATCATGATAATGACAATTATAAAAGAAAACCTTAGTTCTTGGCAGTATTTCTTAGCTAAAAGCATAGATGTTACTGTTTACCACACCCTGAAAACCAGTTATATAAAGTATGATTTATATCACTAAAAATCTCGTAATAACTGCATTTAATCATATTCTTCAAGTTTATCAATGATCCAATGGGAAAAGAATATAAAGAAGAAAAATAGCAAAGATAAGATGTTTTCAATTCACTTAGTTTCTGGAGTTTTTAATCATCAAAGATTCTAATAAATCGTTTAGATGAGAAATTATAGTTATATAATTATAGTTCCAGATAGGGCTGGGCGATATTTAAAAAAAGCTTATCGATAAAAAAAATGCATATTGATCGATATCAATAATTATTGAAAAGATTTGAAACCATATTTTATGTGCAGGTCTGCCTGGACTTTTTAT